TCCTCTCTTTGTGTGTTGAAGACAATCTATGTTTATGCATCATTTCGGGTGTCTTCACTGGGCATTGTGGAACCGATCTGGATCACGGTGTTCTTGCTGTTGGGTACAGTAGAGAAGACGATTTAGACTACTAGATTGTAAAGAATTCGTGGGAAGAAAAATGGGGAGAGGATGGTTACATCAAGATGGAGAGAAATGTGGCGAACACTACCTGAGGCAAGTGTGGTATAGCCTTACAGGCATCATACCCCATCAAGACCGGAAAGAACCCTCCAAAGCCTCCTCCACCCTTAGAACACATAAAGATATGAGAAGTGTATGCTCGATGAGAACCCGCTCGATCATTGAACCATGATTGTAGATTTAAACACGAAGCTTAAAATATAATTTCACGAGATGAAATTCACTTGGAGCCAGTAGATTCGCTCATTCCCGTATAGGATAAGTAAATGCATAGTTTTACTTTGAACCTTATCCCTATATTATAGATCCTTTAAATTATTATTAAAAATAATTAATTATTTACTAGGTTTTTGGTTATAAATCCCAAAAAAATATTTTTAAATTTTTTGAAGGAGAGAACACGAGGGGAAGGCAAGATGCCAGCGCATGACATCAGCAATGATGCCAACGCATGATGTCATGTTGGCATCATTCCTTATGCCAATAGTACTAACCGTCTTTCGAGTCCATTTTTCGAGCGATATTCTCTCGACTTACTTTAGGACCTCTTTAAGGAATTTTAGAGATTTAGAATTTTTTAAGAGCCCAAACTGATTCTGAGATGTTGATCGAACAAGTAACTAACCATTTGGATTTTTTTTGCAATAAATACTTGTAGGAATTGACTATGACTCGAGCATATGGACCGTTAGCATGATTTATGAATGAATTGAGCATGAAAATGGATAGCTAATCCTAGATTTATAGATTATTGAATGACTTAGCTCGTTTCATGCAATAAGATTTATGAAAATACCAAATTTTTCTATAATGGATTTGAATGCTTTGTTGGGACTTTAACGTGATGTGATTGACCGTACTTTTCTTTGTCAAATATGTGTGATTTTATGATTTAATGCTATTTATTTCTAGAAGCGTGTTATGAAGTTGAAATACCTATTTATGCCCTAATTTATGTATAGACTAGATGTTACGTGGCCTAGAGGATATGCAAGACATGTTAGAGAGTCTTACTCTACAATTTGCCTTTTCTTGGTCCTCGAGCCACGTTTAGAGCTCATTGTGAGCATATGGGTCGACTAGGGCTATGTAGGAATTGTTAGGGCACAACCCCTGATGAACTCACCTCAGCTGGTAAGGGTCTATCTTGCATACAGTAATGCGATGTCAACTACTTAGGGCCCGTGACACATCAGAAGGTACTAGTGAGGGAGTTTCAATTGTATTTATTAGGGAGCCTGTCTTACGCTATTTAAAAGCTTGGAATGATGAGCGAATAGGGAGCTTGTTAGCTGTTATTAGAGGGAGCTTCCAGCAAGCACTCAGTACTAGATATCTATGGAGATATAGGGAGACTTGAAGGTTATTAACAGCAAGTGGCGACTCCTCCATACCTATTAAACTTCCCTAGATCCCGAGATAAATGAGAGCATCCCGACTTATGTGCAGGAAGTATGATAACTAGATGGACCATGGAGAGTAAGTTACTAATAACGACCAAAACAAATGGGCCCTTGTGTTTTGTCGTTCGTTTTCTATTACTAATAACTACAAGCGTCTGGAAAAATTTAAAAGGCGAAAAATAAGAATCACATAATTAATTTAATAATAAGGAAATTAAAAAAATATATATAAGGGAAGAAACAAAGAAATAAAATTTTAATGAGCTGGAATCTCTATTTTTATTTTATATATTTTTTATTTTTAAGGAAATAAACAAGACATAAGAAAAAAATAACATGACCTGGCAAGTACCGAATGATCCATTGGATTTGACATAGAATTTAGATTAAATTAATAAAAAAAAAATACACTTCGAATTTCAACTTTTATCTTGAAAAAAATATTTTAAACTTTGAATTTTTTTAATAATATCTTTAAATTTTTAAAAATTAAAAAATACTCGAACAAAAACTATTTGAAAAATACCTTTAATAAACTTTCGTAATTATTTAAAAAATTTATAAAAAAAATTTCAAAAACACCTTTAAAACTTTTTTTTTTTAAAAAAATTTTAAAATACTTTTACTTTTGGTACCACGTTAAAAAAAAAATACTCATATACTTTCAAGAGTAATATTAAAAAATTCTGAGATAATCTATAGATAATACCGATCGATAGTTTTCATCCATATATCGACCGTAAAAAAAAATTAATTTAATTTTTTTTTAAGATTAGAGGGTTAATGCTACTTTTAAAATTTCATGGGTATTTTTTAAACATAGTACTAGAAAATGTATTTTCAAACTTTTAAAAAAGTATTATCAATATTAGAATTTTTAGATTTTTTTTTTTAAAGTTTAAGAGTATTATCAATATTTTAAAATTTTATAGGTATTTTTTAATATATTTTAATTAATTTAGTTTATAATTTAATTTACTTTTTTAAACTTTTAAATTTATTATATATTTGAAATATTTATATTAATCTCTAAATTTTTAAAAAATCTATCATTGAAATTTTTTTTAATTTTATTTTTTCAAACAAATTAATGACAATTTTAAACACGATTAGAAATCCTAACTGATTTAGAACCACTTATATTACATGATAGGTTTACATTATTGCAAGCTAGATGACAAAGGAAGAGAGAAAGAAAAGGAGAGGAAACGACACTCTTACAAGGAATAAAATGATAAATAATTATTACTCTTTTTTCCTTAACAAATTATTTATCGAAACGTGTACCGTGCATTATAATATAGATTCGACTTATTTCTTTTTTTTTTTTTTTAATTTAATGGTGACAAATTGTCGACAATTTTAAGTTTAATGTTGTTCATCTTATTAGACGACTCGAAGAACTAACCGAATTTGCGAGCCAAGTCGAAAGCTCTGAAGTAACAACCTTAACAATGGGATTAAAAAGTTGAAAAAAAAAAAAAAAACTTTGAACACCTCTGTGATAACTCTCTAAAAATAAATTTATACCGAGTTATTTAATCAATAATTTTGCACACATACTCGTCATTTTCTCATTAGTTGTCTTATTTATAATAATTAGTTAACATGAAATAGTGTACGGTGGTCCAACATGAAAATGTGATCAGATTGCATAAATATAGTCTGCTTGTAGACTTAATCGATTTTATGTTATAAAGTGCAAAATATTTATGTTGAACCATGATGTCGTAGCAAATTTGGGAGCAATTTTGATGGTGATAATATGTTTGGATCAATATGTTCGAACCATGTGCTGAAACAATTTCAAACACGATCACTATTGAGAAGGACATATTGATTTTTTAAAATAAACCATAGTAATACGAATAGGGTGTTATCTAGGATAATACTAATTGATTTTTAACGACAAACACGACTATTAAAAAATATTGAAATACGCGGCCAAACCTTAAAAAGCATATAAGGTAATTTACTCTAATATAATAAAGCAAAATAATAATGATACAAATTTATAAAGTCAATTAGGATAATAATTTGTGATGCTCAATTATGGGTAACGTTAGATCATTGGTCTAAAACCTTTTCTGAAAAAATTTTATTTATATATAATTTATAATTTGACTTATTTTGTGATGTCCCACATTGGTTGGGGAGTAGAACAAACCACCATTTATAGCCGTGTGAAAACCTTTCCCTAGTAGATACGTTTTAAAGCCTTGAGCGGAAGCTCCAGAGAGAAAACGGACAATATCTGATAGCGGATCTGGACCATTACATATTTATATATATATATATATAAATATAAAATTCAAATTATAAATTTTTGTTTGTGTTTACTTGATTTTAACTTTGAAATGTATTTTTTAACTTTCAAATTTTGTTTAATTTTGTATCTATCTATATATATATATATATATTTTAGAAACCTAATTAATAATTAAATCTATTAAATTTTAATTTTAATTTTAATGGTACGAAAATTTAAATTTTTAATCTTATGATTAATGTAAAAAGTGTATATATATAGTTAGTAATCTATTAAATATAAAATAAAATAAAAAATTAGTCATTTATTTAAAAAAAAATAACCAGATGTAAATAGAGACGTGTTGCTTATGGCCGCATGACAGATATCCTAGTCTTGCTTGTTTGAGTCGGTTGACAAAGACATCAACCAATTGAGTGGAGGAGGATGTCACGGTCATGCATATCCAAGGTATGTTGTCAATAGCCGTATGATAGATATCCCGATCTTGTTTGTCCAGAACATGTTGTCCATGGTTGCAAGCCTGTTCCAAACCTATTCTACATGCTTTCATCCTAGATAGTTCTTTACCATTTCATATTAGGTCAGTATGGGGATGTATGACCGTTCACCAAAATCGTGTCTACATCTACAAGGGCTAAAATGACCCAAAATGTACTATAGAGGGATATGACCAGTTGTTAACTTCTCCCTATCCGATAGTTATATGCAGTAAGCCGTTGTTGTTGTTTGTTGCTTACATTCCCATATAACACCAATTTCAATATCTCAAATCTTGCTTTCAAAACTCTCTTTTGAAATCTCTCTGCCCGTTTTTTAAAATTTTCTTCGAAGAAAATTTATTGACTAAGCATGGAAAGAGAATGGAAAACATTTTTTCATTAGTAAATGGGTCAGAGACAACATTATCTCTATCCCATTTTATTTAAATATATTTACAATTTATATTGAAATATATATATTTGATTATACTAAAAAAAAAATAGTTAATTTGGAGACTTTAATGTTTAAATTAAAGATATATTATAGATTTTTTTTTAACGTAAGTAATATTATAATTTAAACTTTTAAAAGTTATGCAGGAGGTGCAGATATTTTTCTGAAATTCGCCTATATAATGCACCAATTCCTTCACTTCCTCTTCACACCCAACTCCACCAAACATGGCGGTTTCCACCACTTTCTCCTTCCCCGCCGCCGCTCTTCTAGCCATTTTCCTCTGTTTTCCCTCATTTTCTTCCGCTTCCGATTCCGATTCCGATTCACCCACCTTCTCCATCATCGACGAGAATGCAAAACACCACATGGGTATCCCTGATACTCTCGATTCTGATTCCGGCGGCTTCCCTAACCGGACCGACGACGAAATTGCGGCTCTGTTCGAGTCGTGGTTGGTCCATCATGGAAAAGCTTACAACGCTCTCGGCGAGAAGGAGCGGCGGTTTGAGATTTTCAAGGATAATCTCAGGTTCATCGATGAACATAACCGGGTGCCAAGGAGTTATAAGGTTGGATTGACCTGTTTCGCTGATCTCACCAATGATGAGTACAGGGCTCTGTTTTTGGGTGCCCGATTCTCCCCATTTCCTCGCCCATCCGCCGCGGATAGTGGTAGGTACGCGACGGCTGTCGGCGATGATCTGCCGGATCATGTCGATTGGAGGAAGAAGGGCGCTGTTACGGCTGTTAGAGATCAAGGACATTGCAGTGAGAATAAATTAATAAAAATATTCTTAAATTTTATAATTTTATTTATAAAAAAATAACCTTAAATTTTTTAAATTTTCAATAATAACTGGGATTAAAAAAAAAATCTTAAAAATATATTTATTATTAATTTTAGATGAAAATTTTGTATGGTTTCAAAAATATTCTTAAATTTTAGAAAGTTTTTATTAACCCATTTCAAACTCCTAAAAAAAATACTTAGGTAATATTAATACTATTATTCTTCCTAAATAAAAATTCAAAAAATGTTTTTTTTTACTGTTATGGACAGAAATAGTCTAGATTACTTTTTTTAATGTTACAGTTTATTAATATTTTTGAAACGTGGTATTAATGATAATATTATTTTTAAAGTTTTTAGAAAAGTTTAAGAGTATTAATGAAATTTTGAATAACTCGATACTATTTTTGAAATAAAGTTGGTGGGTATTTTTAAAAATTTTCTATTAATTTCGGGACTAAATAGAAATTAAACATATTTCTATTAATTTTGCAAATCATGCTCTTGGATTTCTCCATTTCAATCAAAATCGAGAGACCAGAGTGGTTAATTACTTAAAACACATGGTTTTAGTGGTGGGTTTTGAGGGATGATTAACGTTAACTTAAGTGGATTATGTTTTGAATGAAGAGAGCTGCTGGGCTTTCTCGGCCGTGGCTGCAGTGGAAGGAATAAACCAAATCGTCACCGGTGAGTTAATCTCTCTGTCGGAGCAGGAACTTGTGGACTGCGGTCGATCTAAGTTTCTTACCGGTTGCAAAGGTGGTTATATGGACAAAGCTTTCCGATTCATCATTGACAATGGTGGCATTGACACCGAGGAAGATTACCCTTATAAGGCCCTTGATAATTACACTTGCGATCTCGACCGGGTTCGTGTCGGTCGACCTACTTCATTCAATTCATTCAATCGTATCTGATGTCTTAATCTCACTCGGTTTCTAATGTGTTATCAACAGATCAATATAAATGTTGTCTCCATAGATGGGTATGTAAATGTGCCTCCGGGGAATGAGAGGTTGTTGAGAAGGGCTGTGGCTGGTCAACCAGTTAGTGTTGCCATTGACGCTGATTCCGAAGCCTTACAACATTACAAATCGGTAATCTCTTCCAACTTCCAACATTTCCTTAATGTTGTTTCACAAAGCTAAGGTTTTGACATCTTCTTTATCTCTCAATTGATATGGGATCTCATAATTCACTCCCTTTCGAGGTCAAGTGTCTCGCTCGCACTTGTTCTCTTCTCTAATCGATGTGGGACCTCTCAATGCACCCATCTAAGGCCTAGTGTCCTTGTTGGCACACCAACCGTGAGATCTCACAATCTACCCCTTCAGGACCCAGTGTCTCGCTGGCACTTGTTCCCTTCTCCAATTGATATGGGACCCCCCAATGCACCCCTCTAAGGCCCAATGTTCTTGTCGGCACACCAACCGTGAGATCTCACAATCTATCCTTTCAGGGTCCAGTGTCTCACTGGCACTTGTTCCCTCCTCCCATTAATGTGGGACCCCCCAATCCACTCTTTTGAGTCTTCAGTGTCCTTGTTGGCACACCGCCTTGTGTCAACTCCCTTCAGAACTCAGCCTCTTTGCTGACACAACGTCTTGTGTCTGGCTCTAATATCATTTGTAATAGCCCAAACTCACCCAACACAGATATTGTTCTTTTTGGGTTTTCCCTCAAGATTTTTAAAACGTGTCTTCTACGGATATGTTTCCACACCCTTATAAAGAATGTTTCGTTCTCTTCCCAACTAATATGGGAGTCCAACAAGAAAAACCTAAAAAGACAATATCAGCTAACGATGGGATGAGCCATTTACGTATTTCACTTAGGAAATTGTGTGTTTTATAGACGGCCATTATTTATGCATCATTCATTCAGGGTGTCTTCACCGAAGACTGCGGAACCGAGCTGGACCACGGTGTTGTTGTTGTTGGATATGGCACAGAAAATGGTTTAGACTACTGGATCATTAAGAATTCGTGGGGTGAAACTTGGGGAGAGAAGGGTTATATGAAGTTGGAGAGAAATGTGGTAAACACGGCAGGCAAGTGTGGTATAACCCTAATGGCTTCATACCCCATCAAGCTTTGAAAGAACCCTCCCAGACCTGATGCTGCTTCTCCACTCGAGCCCCTGGCTGTATGCGTAACCAACCATTAGAACACAGGTGCAGTGTACACAAAGCTACGAGAAGTGGAAGCTAAGCTTGATGACACCCTGCTCTTGAGAATTCAACCATGCTCGTGTTGTGTTATAGTCCCCTTGCTTTGAAATAAATTGCATGTGTCTATCCTTATTTCCGTTTGGATATGGTTGAACTTATCAAATGTTTAAAACCTAATAATATCGTTTGTGTGTTTGTTTGTGATTCTAGTTTTTTAAATTGTACGTGTTTGATATACGACAGAATTATATTCAAGTAATAACCTAAAAAGAGTGTATTATAATCGTAATTGTGAGATTTCACGTGGGTCGAGGAAGAGAACTAAGTATTGGTGTGAAATTTATTTAGTAGGAGAAAGCACTCAAGGAAAAATCCAAACAAATAAGGAAAATATAAACTAATTAAAATAAAAGAAAAGAAAGAATATTAATATCCAATATATATTCCATAACTAATATATTCATGAAATATTATATCTTAATAAAAATAATATCTATTAGCTGTGGACTTGGGCCGTTACAAATAATATTTGTTAACGATACGTTATAAATGGTATCAAAGATAGACATCGAATGGTGTGCTAGCGAAGATGTTGGGGCATGAAGGGGGTGAATCACCTGCATCGATTGGAGAGAGGATCGAATGCCAACGTCTTGAGGGGAGTGGTAGATTATGAGAGCCCACGTATAAATGAGAATGAAAAATGGATTATGATCCCACCTCTCTTATGGAGGAGAATCAACCAACTTTATTATAGTTATAAATTATTTGATTAAATCATTTAGTAGAGACACAGGAATGAGAGTATTACATATAATAATTTTGTATAAAACTAAATCACTTATTATTCATCTTAATCTTGATTGGTCACATTAAATTCTAACATAAAAAATAAATGGAAGAAATGCAATTAGAACCTTAAAATCCTCAAAAAAAAAAAAAAAAAAAAAACAAAAAAACAAAACAAAACTACAAAAACGAAGAACAAGAAGATGGGTATGAACATGAAGTCGATAACTCTATCGTTCGTGTTATTATTATACGTTTCTATAGGAACAGCTCAATCAAGTGATGGAGTTTTTGACGTAACAACATACGGTGCTAAGCCTAATGCTGATATAACTCAGGTAAAAACTAATATCAAATATATCGATGTTTAGATATTTTTACGATGATAAATCTTTTCTAATTATGTTCGAGATTTTTGAAAAGATTCTAGAAAAGGCATGGAAGGACGCTTGTGCTTCACCGATTCAAAGTAAATTAATTATTCCAAAAGAGACTTACACGTTAGGTGTAATCACAATGCTTGGTCCTTGCAAGAGTCCAATTGATATTGTCGTGCAAGGAACAATAATGGCACCCGTAGATATAACAGGTGATGGTTGGATTCAGTTCAGATATGTCGACAAAATTTCATTAACAGGTGGCGGAGTTTTTGATGGACAAGGACAAAAAGCTTGGGCAAGTAACGATTGTCATAAAAACCCCAAGTGTGCAAGAATTCCAATGGTAAATACACTTAAATTAACTATTTCCAAATTTTAATTTATTGTTTATACTCATGCATGATCGTTTTTTTTTACAGAGTTTGAAGTTCAGCTTTGTAAAAGATTCAATTGTGAGGGACATAACGTCAAAAGACAGCAAGAATTTTCATGTCAATATCCTAGGTTGTAAGAATCTTACTTTCGATCACGTGACCATAAATGCACCGGGGAATAGTATTAATAGTGATGGAATTCACATGGGTCGTTGTGATGGAGTTAATATCATCAATTCAGTTATTGGTACTGGTGATGATTGTATCTCACTCGGAGATGGAAGCAGACAGGTAACAGTTACGAACGTGACGTGTGGACCTGGACACGGCATAAGCGTAGGAAGTCTAGGACAATATCTTGTTGAAGAACCGGTTGCTGGGCTTTATGTCAAAAATTGTAAATTAATTGGTACAACAAATNATAATCAGTAATCTAATCCAACGGTTGTAATTGTATCATCAATATAAATTCTCCTCAACCGTCCGATTTATCGATTCTCGTCAAGGCCAAATTGTCAGCACACGATGCATTGACTGGGCGACCGAAACGGAAACGAAATGACTCTTTCACCCGTTCCTTCAAAACCACGGCGATGTTTAGTTCCACCGCTCCATCTCTCTCTCCGTTCCCCCCTTTCACGTTTGAAACCCTAACTCGACAGCCCTCATTGAAAATTTCGCACCATTTTTCGCTTGGATTGTTCAGCCATCGTTGTTTTTCTCCGGGTGAGATTGAATTCTCTTTGCTGGAGTCTAATGATTCATTTCAGTATTTTACTTGTTCACTCTGTCAGTGTTTTTGATTTGGTTCGGTTTTGAGATGGTATTGTAAATCGGTTCTTCCTCTGTTTATAGTTTTAAGGTAACGATCACAGCGGCAGCGTAGCTTAATTGTGGCTCTCTTTAAGAAAACGATATGAATTGTTTAATTGAGAGTGTTCTTGATCCTCGAATTTTATGGCATTTCTATGCTTGATATCCATTTCTTTCTTGCTCCTAGATGATCATTTTGAAATGCCTCTATTTTCTGCAGTTTGGATATTTAGATTGTTCTGAAGAGGTAATGCTTATGTGGGGTTCTTGACACACTAATTCCAGTGTTCATCTGGCATATCTCTAGTAATATAATGGATCCAAATTCTACTGATTCCCCGACATCACCTACTGTTAAGTCCTTGGAAACTAAACCACCAGAAGCACAGCCTCAGGCTTCTGCTACCATTGGAATGAATAATGTAGCCCCTGATTCACCATCTAAGCCATCTCCCAGTGGCATAACTTCATGGACCAAAAGCTTGAGAATTACTCAATCACAGTCAGCTTCACAAGATGGCACGTCTGAGAATGCTGGGAAGTCAGCATTTGCACGTTTTACTAGTGGTTTAGGTTTGAATTTGTCTCCGAAATCCGCTGCACCCAATGATTCCTCTGATGGAACCTCTAAACCTGCCCAACCCGGTTTTGTGGGATCAATTACAAGAGGGTTGGTTGATTCTTCTAAGAGTGCTGTAAAGGCTGTACAAGTTAAAGCTCGTCACGTTGTCTCCCAAAATAAGCGACGATACCAGGTTTGTTGACCAAACCATCAGCTTCGTTCTTATGCAATCATTTTATAAGATTAATTATATATGTATACACTGTTTTCTTGTGACATAAAAGATTGAGTTTTGCACTACGTATGTCTGATCCTAATTTGTTAAATGGATTTGATTTGGTTTTATATTATTATGATTATATGGTTGCTCTTTTTCCAGGAAGGTGGATTTGATTTGGATATGACTTATATTACTGAAAACATCATTGCCATGGGTTTTCCTGCTGGTGACATGAGCTCAGGGTTTTTCGGATATGTTGAGGTTATTAACTGATACTCATTTTGTATGACTCAACTTAGATGAATAATACTCTAATATTTATGAGTTGCGGGGCAGGGTTTCTACAGGAATCATATGGAAGAAGTCATCAAGTTCTTCGAAACACATCACAAGGTTTGTATGGATTTGTCCATGATGTGCATGTTTACTGTTTTAAACTTTCTCAAAGATGTTTACTATTTGGACTCTGTTGCAGTTGATCATCTTTCCATGATTGATATGCATTGTAGATTTGCATTTCATGTTTTCATGTTTTGTATTTTTTTATCTGCAGGGAAAATACAAAGTATATAATCTTTGTTCCGAGAGGCTATATGATGCTTCGTTATTTGAAGGAAAGGTTCGTGGTGATCTCTTATTATCATTAATATTTTGAGGTTTCTTCGGAGGTGGGATTACAAATTTAGTGTTAGATTCTGCATCGGTTGGGGAGGAGAACAAACCATTCTTTATGAGGGTGTGAAAACCTCTCTCTAGCAGATACGTTTTAAAAACCTTGAGTTGAAGTTCGAAAGAGAAAGCCCAAAGAGGACAATATCGGTTAGCGGTGAGCTTGGGTTGTTATAAATGGTATCAGAGCCAGACACCGAGTGATGTGCCAGCGAGGAGGTTGAGCCCCGAAGTGGGGTGGACGCGAGACGGTGTGCCAGCTAGGACGCTGGGTCCTAAAGGGGGGTGGATTGGGAGTCCCACATTGATTGGAGAAGGGAACGAGTGGCAGCGAAGACGCTGGGCCTTGAAGGGGGGTGGGCTGTGAGATCCCACATCGGTTGGGGAGGAGAACGAAACATTTTTTTAAGTGTGTGGAAACCTCTCCCTAGCAGACGCGTTTTAAAAACCTTGAAGGGAAGCCCGAAAAGGAAAGTCCAAAGAGGACAGTATCTGCTAGCGGTGAACTTGGGTTGTTACGTTTAGTGTATCACGATTTCAAGAGGATCCTTTTAATTGATACTTTCAAGCATATATGTCTGGTTTTTTTCTTCTTCAGGTGGCTTGTTTTCCTTTTGATGACCATAACTGTCCCCCAGTTCAACTCATAATATCATTTTGCCGAAGTGCTTATTCATGGCTGAAGGATGATATTGAAAATGTAGTGGTTGTGCATTGCAAGGCAGGAATGGCCAGGACCGGCTTGATGATTTCCAGTCTTCTTCTGTTTCTGAAGGTTTGCGTTTATTGTCTTGATCTGAAAATTTTTGGAAGTTCTCAAAAATGTTCCTCAAAACTTCTCCCTTAATTTTGTTTTCATTTTTTTTTCACTTGCTTGCTTCTTTTGCAGTTCTTTCCCACTGCTGACGAATCCATCGAATACTACAACCAGAGAAGGTGTTTCGATGGCAAGGGCCTGGTTTTACCAAGTCAGATTGTAAGTGAAAATTACCTAAAGAGGATTTTGTATCTGAATTTTTTGAATGCTTCTAAAATAGTATCGTTTTCTATCTTTCTAGAGGTACGTCAAGTATTTCGAGCGTATTTTAACACACTTCAATGGAGAAAATCCTCCCAACCGCAGGTATCGTTCTTTCTGTATAACTCTAGTATCATTCCTATTTCTCAGTTAGTCATGTTTTCCTTTACATGTAGTGTGTTCGAATTAAATTTTCTGCAGGTGCGTGCTTAGAGGGTTTCGTCTCCACCGATGCCCATATTGGATCAGGCCTTCCATTACGGTATCTGACCATAATGGTATATCTCCATTTCTTCTTTCTACCAAGGAGTTTGCTATAACGATTAATAATTTATGATGTCATATTTGTCCGTCATGTCGTTAAACATATATTGAAACTATCGTTCGGGTTTAGAATATCTAGAATCCAAATAATGCTTATAGTTTGCTCTAATTCTTTCCCTAATCTGGCAGGTGTTCTGTTCTCCACTAAAATGCATCCAAGAATCAAGAGTCTCTCGGTATGTATTTGATTAATTTTAAAAGTAGGGGAACTGAGAATGGCCTCACTTGCATACAGTAATGGATCTAGTTTAAGATTTTTGAGACTATCGGTTAAGAATTTTTCCGTCTTTCTAGCATCCGAGTTCTAACGTAGTTTATATCTGTAGCCAGAAGATTTTTGGTTTACTGCACCAAAGAAGGGGGTAATAGTTTTCGCCTTGCCAGGGGAGCCTGGTCTAGCTGAGTTGTGTGGGGACTTCAAGGTTCATTTTCATGACCGCCAAGGAGACTTTTATTGGTATATGATCTGAATCTTGACTCCCAGATAGCTTCTTGTGCTTCTTTTAAGTAGTGTAAAGGAGTTCAGTTGAGTTTACCTGATCTGTTTTATTTTCAGTTGGCTAAACACAACCATGACTGAAGATCGGAAAATGCTCTACACAAATGATCTTGATGGGTTTGATAAGGTGAGTACCAAAGTTTTGTTGTCTCGTGTAATATATGATGGCCGATCGTATTACTGTGAGATCTTACATCGGCTGGGAGGAGAATGAAACATTCTTTATAAGGGTATAAAAACTTCTCCTTGGAAGACACGTTCTAATGGACCCGAAGGGGGGTTGATTGTGAGATCCCACATCGATTGGAGGGGGGGAAACGAGTGCCAGCGAGGACACTGGCCCCAAAGGGGGGTGGATTGTGAGTTCCCACGTTGGGGAGAGGAGAATGAAGCATACTTTATAAGGGTGTGGAAACCTCTCCCTAGTAGACGTTGACACTTGTTTCCTTCTCCAATCGACGTGGGACCCCCAATCCACCCCCCTTCGTGACCCATCATCTTTGCTGGTACACCGCCTCGTGTCCACCCCCTTCGGGGTTCAGCCTCCTCGTTGGCACATTGCCTGATGTATGGCTCTAAAACCATTTATAATAGTCCAAGCCAACCACCCGCAGATATTGTTCTCTCTAGGCTTTTCCTTTCAGGTTTCCTCTCAAAATTTTTAAAAAACGCTTGCTAGGGAGAGGTTTCCACACCCTTACAAATAATGCTTTGTTCTCCTCCCCAATCGATGCGGGATCTCACAATTACACTTACTTACCGAGAGTCATTACCGGTTGTTTTAACTTTCTAAAATATATGTATTTGGCTTTCTGTAGAGGACACTGCCTTCCCCTGGATTTCAGGTGGAGGTTGTTCTAGTAGATACCTCGCCGAACAAGGACAATACTACCAAGAAGTTGGATGAAGGCTCAGGGTCAAAACCTTCTACAGTTCATGAGAGTGAAGTTTCTGAGAACCAAAACAGAAAACCAGGAACTAATGATAAAGATGATGTATTTTCTGATAGTGAATCAGAAGGTGGTTCTTCAAAGGGCAAGGAGGCAACTGCAGGATCAGCTGTCAAGACGACATCCAAATCTCAAACGACTGCGACTTCATCAGACGATGTTGCAAGTTCATCACATGCAACGAAGCAAGCTTCCCTGAGAGATGGTAGAGCGAAACAGACTGCTCTCACAGAAGTTCCGAACTCGGAAAGTGAATTCAAGGCAATGGCTGCTGATGCTTCTGTTTTCACATTCGGCGACGACGACGACGACGAGATTGAGTAAATGACAAGGCAAAGTGTTGTTCCCCTCCAAGCCACAGCCTTGCTGTCTGTACATAAGAACCGTGCTGCAGGTGTGCATTGAGATTCATTCATTTGAGTTGTAAATTCAAAGTCTGTCTCAGAAGCTGGTTTATTATAGAAATGAGATTTTAGCATGAAACTGGAAAACATGTAAAAAGAAATGATTTTAGCATGAAACTGTTCTATGAAGTTCAATAAAGCTGGGTTCAATAAGACTGTTTGACATTGTTTTTTGAGTCTCTTAGGGCTTGTAATTTGCTAAATCAGCTCGTCTTATTTTGTGGACTGTCGTATTTGAATCTCTTAGGTTGTACTTTCCATTCCGCTTATCGAGAAGCCCGATTCACGCTACTGAAACATAATTTACATATAATTTTACATGCAATGTAAATACAACTAGAATTTACTTTAGGTTTTGTTCTCGTGAGATTCCACATCTGTGGGAGAGAGCAAAACATTTCTTATAAAGATGTGGAAACTTCTCCCTCAGACGTATTTTAAAATCGTGAGGCCGATGGTGATACATAACGGGTCAAAACTGACAATATCTATTTGCGGTGGGCTTGAATTTTTACAATGGTATTAGAGCCCGACATGGGGCTGTGTGCCAACGATGACACTGACCCCTAAGGTGGTAGATTATGAGATCCCACATCAATTGGAGAGGGGAACACGATGAGAGCCTACAGTGATTTAGTATAAATTTTATACTCATCCCTGTTTTCCTTTCCTTTTCATGGGTGCGCAAACTGTCAATCGAGGTAGAGGAGCATTCAATAGCTGTGCAGTCACAGAGGGGGTCGTTCCGAAGCGTCAATCCATTTTTACATTTTAGAGTCCGTTCCAAAATACTTGAGATAATGCTTTTATTTTAATGATGGACTGCACCACCATGAAACAATTAATTTCAAATGCAATAATTTTATATGTTCTAGATGTTAAATTAATTAAAATGAATATATGAATTCAATACTAGTTTTTGTAAGTCAAATATTGAAACAGTCAAATGTAAAATAATGAAATCTATTTAAATATTAATATTAAAAGTCAATAATTGATTATTAGATGTTATTCCCTAAATCATTAAATTTATTTAAATATTAATATTTAAAGTAATTTTTCTAATAAACGCCTTATTCATTTAAAATATAAATATCTGATTTGGTTCGGTCTCCCTCATCTGATATAGATTAGAATGATTCTTATTTTTTAAAAAGAATATATTTTATTTCATAAAATTTATATATAAAATTAAAATTCTAAAGCCAGGATAAGAATTTGATTTTGTGTCGTGATAAATAAATAAATCAATAAATAAATAGTCAAATATTAATTTATTTAACTCAAAATTTACAACTTCAAATTACATAAATTCACATATACAAATTTTAAATAATTAATATCGGTTCTAGAAAAGTCAAAATAAACAATCTCATTGACCAAGTCAAAGTCAATGCAAAAATCAAATTCAACTGAAATAATTAAAAAGAAATAAATTTATAATTTAATCAAATAAATTTATGAACTAAGTACCTTGAATTGAAGACGTTTCTGGTGAGGTCAATAACCTCGCGTAGCACCCAACGATTTCTCTTCCTCTTTCCATCTCTGTTTCTTGGAAGAACCCATCCACGCGCCCCAAACGCCGCCTCCCTGTTTCTTATACACGACGTAAAAAGCCCTTTATCTTTCTCGGTGTTCTCTTGATTTCGCAGTTTTCTGTTCGTGGGTTACAATACTCTTTTGAATATTCTATTCTGGTTCTGTGATTCGAGGGTTTGAACAAAAGGGGAAGCGTTTTTCAGGACACAAAACAGGTTCTGACTCTTCTATGTCGACATATTCCATTCAGGGCCAGCCTCTTGAGGCCACCGGTATGTCTATTTAACTAAGAACCAAGAAGAACAAGTTGATTTCGTTTCTGGGTTTTGATTCTTTTGTTGTTTTGATTCAGTTGTTGGATGCACAAAATTGAAGGATACAGAATGGATATCAAGGCAGGATCCGTATGTGTGCCTTGAATATGGGAGTACAAAGTTCCGCACCACCACTTGCACTGGTTTGATCTTGATAATCCTTGTTCTGTTTTTTAGATCTGAGTAGATGATCTTGAACTGAATGTGAAATTTGATTGGGTTTGTGTAGATGGTGGAAGAAATCCGACGTTTCAACAGAAATTTGTGTTCTCTCTAATTGAAGGGCTTAGAGAGATTAATGTTACAGTTTGGAACAGCAACACTGTTACTTATGATGACTTCATTGGCACTGGAAAGTAAGATTGATGTCCTGTCTTGTTCCTTTTGGTTTTTGATGTGTGGCTGCTCAGTTTGGAGTTTACTGTTTTGTAGAATCCAATTAGCAAAAGTTCTATCAGAAGGGTATGATGATAGCTCCTGGTCACTTCAAACTAAAACTGGCAGGTATGGTACCTTTGACTTGCAAGCAGATTACCATTCATAAACTAGTTTTTGCTCGAGTTCTGTTTGCTTTTAGCTCGTTTTTGTGTAGGACTTGGTTTTAGAACAATTGATTTGAAGTGTATGCTAATACGAACGCTGCGAATCGTGAGATCGTAGTTTGGACCCCTTGATGATTTCTTGCCCGTAAAGTATTTTCAGGCAATGAAGTCTATCGTTGATCATGATCACGGGTTAGTTTTTTACGTCGTGGAGTTGGTCATGGGTAGTGTAGCTGTTTCCCACCTTAAATAAGAAAATTTGTATGTCGTGATAGTGTGAGATTCCACATTAGTTGGAGAGGAGAACAAAGCATTCCTTATAAGGGTGTGGAAATCTCTCCTTGGTAGACGCGTTTTAAAGCTTTGAAGGGAAGCTCGGAAGGGAAGGCCCAAAGAGGACAATACTAGCGGTGGGTTTGGGCTATTACAAATGGTATCAGAGCCAAACACCGGGTAGTGTGCCGGCGAGGACTTAGGCTCCCAACGAAACATTTTTTATAAGGGTGTGGAAACCTCACCCTAACAGACGTATCTTAAGAACCTTAAGGGGAAGCCCAAAGAGAACAATATATGCCAGCGGTGGGCTTGGACTGTTACAAAAAGGTATCAAAGTCAGTCACCAGACGGTGTGAGGCATTGTCGGAGTAGAGCTAGACCCTTTACATAGTAGATGCGTTTTAAAACCGTGAGGCTGATAACAATACGTAACGGGCCAAAGCGGACAATACCTACTAACGGTGGGTTTGGGCTCTCACAAATAGTGTACCATGGATCTTTCATACTTAAAAGGTTAGGATATTAGTAGAACCATCGAGTTCGGTTCATCGCTCTATCTTACGAAAGAACTGCTCCCATATAAGCTAGTATTTTCCAACTTTCGGATGAATGCACGACTCAGTAACCTTCATTTGACAAGAAACCCCTACTGGGTTTGATTTCTTTACTTGCAAGTGACTTCTGCTTGAGATTCACATTGTTCTTTCTTTGTGCTTGAAGGTTCATTGTTATTTGTGATCTGTCTGGATCATCTTGGAAGTTAGACTTTTCGTTCTCGTTATCGTTATCGTTATCGTTATGATGGGATATCTCGACAAGCATCGGTATAATTCTAACCTTCACTTTCACCTCACTGCAGACATGCTGGGGAAGTACGTCTGATTCTCCACTTTGCAAATGCCAAAGTAAGTAGCTTTCATTACTATTTGTATAAGATTCATGAGCAAAAAGATGACCTATTCGTTTCAATTGCCAGAGGCCATCATCAAGTTTTGCGCCCTCGGCACCTCCATTTCAAGCACCTGCTCCACCCCAAGTTCCCGTGTACGCAACGATGCCACCGACACACCCGACAGCCTACGCTCATCCTACTCCTACACCATATGCATCATATCAATCTCCCTATCCTTCTTACCCACCCAGCTCAGTAGCATATCAAACATCCATGTATTCCTCCCCATATCCATCCGGGTATCCTCCTGCATCGTACCCGCCGCCTCCCTCGGCTTATCCTTCCAATCCTTACCCGCCACATCCACAAGCCTCATCCGTCTATCCTCCAAGTAGGTTTACGTCGAATCGAACGCTTTAAAAGTTGTATTATATGAACAATGCCATTAAAACTTGTTTCTCCATCTGTTCTTGCTCAGGTCCTTACCATGGAGTTTATCCACCACCACCGTATTGAAATCTCAAGGTTAGCTCTGAATGATCTTTCCATAAGTTGTAAAGAGCTCCACTTCTGTTAATGGGGTTTGCTTAGTTTCTTTGGAACTTGACTATAATGTATTGGGGTTGCTGTTCTTTTCGTTTCTATTCAAATTCAGCAACAATGATGAACAAATTTATGTTCAAAGTCTATCCATGGAGTACTTGGATTCTACAGAAAAGCTAGGCAGATCTCATTTCTTTTTTAGGTTGTTTGTTTGTTTGTTTTTTGTTTCTATTCAAATTCAGCAACAATGATGAACTCGTATACGTTCAAAGCCTATCCATGATCACGACGATCACGTTATTTACTTGTTCTCATCGACCAATACGAACCTTTTTAACATGTATATTGATTCACTCATATACCATTTCTTTACTCGGCTTTAACGATATGGGTCACTATTTTTTTTAATATGACAAGCCGAGTCTTCAACCTTAAAAGAAGAAAAACATGTCAGTTATTGTTGAACTATACGACATATTTAATGTTATATTCACGATAGTATTGAAATCTAGCCTAACCCTGAATTTTTGGTAGGATTGTTGGGTTGTTTTTTTATAATTATTTTTAAAAAAATCATCTTTATCGACCATATAATCCCATTGAACTCAAACAAACTCAACTTCGGTTTTTTAAAAATTAAATTCAACAAGAAAAAAAAATAATTTTTAGTTTAATGTATTAATTTATTTATTTTATTAAAAAAAAAAATTAAGCATCTTAGAGAAAAAGTTCAAGGTGTTATGGAATATCTAACGTACACAGAAAAAAGATCTTCATATCTATTACTTTTTTCTTTCTTTTTTCCTTTTTAAGTCCTCCAATCATAGTTCAATAAAAAAATAATTTAGAAAAAAAAAACAATAAAAATGTACTTAAATAAAATAAAATTTTATTGTTGGGAGATTATTTGATTTTTTTATTATTAACAATTATATATATATATATATATATATATATATATATTAAATATTGCAATTTCTATATAGTTTATTTTGCGCTAATTTAATCATTAATTTTAACAAATTTTGAGTATTTTAATACGAAATTAATTCAATAATTCATTAAAATGTTAAAAGTTTAAATTTCAATTATTAGTTATTTATTAATATCAAAATTAATATGAGGACTAAAATTGTTATTCCTTAAAATTTTAAGAGTTTCGGGGTAAAATTTAAATTCTTTTGAACCGAAATTATAATTTCACCTTTTCAGAAACTAAAAAAAAAAAAAAAAAAACCCGAAGATGGTGCCACGTTATGACTTTCCCTGGCTACTTCTGGAGGTGGACGTAAAAGTCACCCTGTTTGCGCTTCCTGACTTCCCCACTCGCCTTTGCTTCGCGTGTAATACACTCCTTCTCCTCCCTCCCATTTTCTTTTAGAGAAGAACTTCAAATTTTAAGTCGATTAGATTAATTTCAAATTGGGTTGAGTTAGTTTGTTTGTCGGTTCTTATTTATCTGTAGTACATCATGCATGTTACGTTAATAACTAAAATCTACGAGTCACAATTCATCACTAAAATCGCTAACAAACGTTAAATATTCTTGATATTTAAAAAATAAAGTAGAGCAAAGTTGAGTTGTAACTCTATTTTCAGCTTCCCACCACAAAATGTCAACTAGAAAATCTAACAGAATTTCCAATTTTTCAAAAAGTCAACCCAACCAAAATCTAATTTGTGTTGGGGAGTGAGTTTAATCAGGTTATTGGGTCCTATGAACACTTTTATTGAAACCTATACTCTTGTTCGAGATGCAAATAACGTCTCACACCAGCTAGGTAAGATCTATGATATCGAGATAAAGTTGTTTTTGTAACACATTGGCCCCTTTTAAATTTTTTTTATTTTTATTTTTATATTATATGATATGATAGTATACTTATTTAAACCAAGTTACTTGAAGATCTAGGTAGAATCATAGACTTAAAATTTTGGTTGCTTTCTTTTGTCTTTTCCACATTTTGAATCGAAGAGGAGGCTAAAAAGACAACCTTGTCACCCATTGTGCTAAGAACTCATCCCATCTCTCTCCCCTGTTCTTCCTCCATCCCATCCCTCAAAACAACAACAACAATAACCAGACGAAAAAAGCAAAGAAATGGCGCAAATGGGGTTTCTCTTCTCCTCCCTGTAAGATGGCTCTGCACCCAAATAAACACAGAATCAAACTCCACCATAGCTCGCTCTTCTTCCTGGACTTCCTCTACTGCACTGAAGAACAGCAGCTTGAAACAGAGGATAACAATGGCGGCGGCTCCAATGACTTCCCTCTTTGGGAAGAGACGACCCATTTCCTTGTTTGTGAAGACGAGGAGCTCGATCGTTTGCTGTCCAAAGAACAGGACCAGAATCTTCAATACGGTGCTGTTCTGGAGAACTTGGTTCAAACAGAGGGTGCTCTGTTTTTGGCTAGAACAGAGGCCGTCGAATGGTTGCTTAAAGTTAATGCCTTTTATGGCTTCTCCACTCTCACAGCTCTCTTAGCCATTAATTACCTCGACAGAGTCCTCACCGGCCGCCATTTTCAAAGAGATAAGCCATGGATGCTTCAGCTTCTTGCCGTAACTTGCATTTCTTTAGCTGCCAAAGTCGAAGAAGTTCGTGTCCCTGTTCTTCAAGATCTCCAGGTAAAAACAAAAACCCACGAAAATAAATTGATTTTCTCAAGAACCCATCAAAACAAATCGATTTTGAAACAAACCCATTTGATAATTTTTGCAGGTGGAAGATTCTAAGTTCATTTTCGAAGCGAAAACGATACAGAGAATGGAGCTTTTAGTGCTCAGTGCTCTTCAATGGAAGATGCACGCAGTGACCCCTGTTTCATTTCTTGGCATTATAACAAAAGGGCTTGGATTAAAGAAGAATCAGCACTTTCAGAAAGAGTTTCTGAGACGCTTTGAGCGTATTCTCCTCTCTCTCGTCACTGGTAAACCAAATCCGCCATTTTTGTCCCTGTAAAAAAGCTCGTTTTTCTGGGTTTTGGGGTTAATCTTAGTTATTTGAATCTCTGTTTTTGTTTTGGTGGGGTTTAACAGATTCAAGATCGGTGGGGTTTCTTCCTTCTGTAATGGCGGTATCAGCAATGGTGAGCGTTGTTGAAGAGATGGGGAGCTGTAAGCCATTGGAGGAGTTTCAGGATCAGATTCTTAATGCCCTCAAAATAAACAAGGTTTCTATTTTTACCCCATTTTTATGTTTTTTTTTTATATTTTATTTCAAACATTTAAGAACTTTGTCCCATGTTATTTTAGAAGTTTATAAGTAATTATCCAGTAATTGAGAAACAATTAATATGAAAAATTTACTAAAAACAGTAAAAAAAAATAATTTAGATTTGTTTGATTTTGATTGTTTATTTTTTATATTAAAAAGTAAGTACTTTTGTTTCAAAAAAATTTGAAAATGTATTTTTGTCATAGTTTTTTACTTTTTGCTATTATTTTGTCATATGTGATTATTTTAAAAAAATTGGTTGAATTATTTGGGACAAAATTTGGTGATATAATAGGTTGAATTAAGTCGGTGACCTGAACATATCAAAAAAGTTTATAATACAACCCAACCTTACTCTCTATTCTCCAATTGAATTGGATTATCAAGTTGTTTTTTTTTAAATTATCTAAAATATTATAGTTATTCGGATTAATTTTATCAAAGAGTCACAATGCATCATTGGATTATAAACGTTAAATATTCTTAATTTTCATAATAAATTTTAGAGTAGTATTAGACGAGATTGAGTTTGGGTTAGTTTGTAACCCTATTCTTGGGTTGGTCAAGTTGATCGGATTGACCCGACAAAAATATATCAATTTGTGAACGGACCTAGATTTTCATTTCTCCAAAAATTCAACCCAACCCAAGACAAAATTTTAGTAAACGTCCACTAAACTCAAAAGCTTAAATCGGATTTGATTGGATGAACACAGGGAAGAGTGAAGGAGTGCTGCAAGGTGATAATGGAGGTATCAAAAGGGCAGGCCAAAGCAAAGGTATCAGGGAAGAGGAAGCATGTGGAGGAGGAGGAAGCAGAAGCAGAATCAGAAGGTGTAGCAGGGAGCCCAAATGGAGTAATAGAGGCCAATTTCAGCTGTGGAAGCTCCAACCATTCGTGGGGCATGGGGTCGCCTCTGTCACCCCACACGCCTTCTTCTTCCAAAAGAATCAGACCCACTCCATGAACCAACCTATTAAACATGTCTCTCTCTCTCTCCACCATATACGCCATTTCATCCTCTTCTTCCTCTTATACGTGTTAAACTTTTGTTGATGTATGGACGTTTTCACGTGTTCGTTAGTGACATTCATAATTACTCTCCACGTGAGTTTAGTTGAATCGTAATTGACATGTACTCATTCTCTTGAAGTTAGATATAAGAGTCCAATTCCACCACTAGCAGATATTGTTCTATTCGAGTTTTCCCTTTTAGATTTTCTCTCAAGGTTTGTAGAATCTGTATGACAGGGAGAGATTTCCACACTGATGTGGGATCTCACAATCCACCCCTTCAAGGCTCAGAGTCCTCGTACCACTCGTGGCCTTCTCCAATCAATGTGGGACCCCCCATCCTTCCCTTCGGAGTCCAGCATCCTTGCTAGCACACCACCTCATGTCCACTCCCTTCAAGGCTTAGCTTCCTCACTGGCACATTGTGTCAGGTTTTGATACCGCATGTCATCCTTGCACAAGGGTCATGTTAATTTCTTTGTATCGTTCCAATTTTTTTTGGATGTCACTGAAGGTAGAGCTTAAAGAGGACAATATCCATTAGCGGTGGGCGTGAGCTATTACATTAAAGTTTGAAATCCTCCTACTCCATATTTGTTGTACTGAAATAAGAAATCGTGAACAACCTGAAGATAACTCAATCGGTCAAGACATTTCTTTTGTTCAAAAGATAAAAAGTTTGACGAGAGCTGAATTAGATTGGCCTACGAGACTCCGAAAAAGAGAAAGCAAGAAGAAAAGGAAACCCCATGATCTAATATCTATAGCCTTTGTCTCTCCTTTGCATGTTGTTCTATAATCTTCTCTCCTTTGACTTAGTCTCACAATGAAATGATTTAAACTTCAAATCCCACATTCTTAAATATTTCCCTCTTTCTTTGTCTCTCTCTTCCTCTTTTTCTCTTTGCTCCCTCTCACACAGCCTGTAAAGTTCAAAGGACACCATATGGACCATTTTCATTCCTATCCTCTCTCTCTAAAACTCATCTAATTTCGAGCCCCGAGAGAGAGAAACTCCATCCATGGGCACAGCCCAAGCCCAAGCCCAAGCCCACCGTTAGTAGATATTGTCTATTTAGAGCTTCCTCTCACGGTTTTCAAAACGCATATGCTAGGGAGAGGTTTCCAGCTTTTATCAACAATGTTTCGTTTCCCTCTCCAATCGATGTAGGATCTCACAATCCACCCCTTTTCAGGGCCCAGCGTCCTTCTCTCCAATTCCAATTCACATGGGATCTCATATTTAATCTACATGATTGAAATAGGATACAAGAGCGGGATAGAGAAGGCTTCCCTAACTTAAACTTCGAGTTGATTCATGGTTATATATCTCAAAACTCATACGTTTAAACTTACCATAACGTCATTTCTTCTTCACAATGTTGAAATATCGATATAATTAACTTTACGGTATCATATAAACGGTAAAAAAGGTAAATGTGTGTGTGGAGTACAATAATTTAAAAAGGGATAGCTAAGATTTTGACAAAATGAGGTGAAAAAAGTGGGAAGGAAAAAGGAAGATGAAAGAAACTTGACATTAACTCAATTTGAATACGAAGGAACATAGGGAAATGGCCTATCACAAGTTTTAGTGAAAGCTGCCCTTCTCATGTCCTTCCTGTGTGTATTGATATCATCAAATAAAGCTGTAATGGGTACTCATAAATATGTTTTCAACCTCTCATCTATGGGACCCCTTCAAGAACAGATATCAATTTTCACAAAAGGCAAAACATAGCATATTCATCTATTACTACACAGGGGAAAAAGTATGGTGGTTGGTAAAATGTTATTTTCTCTAACCTTTCTAACTTAATATTTATCTTTATAGATTGTCGATGAAATTCAAAATTTCGATTTTTATTTTTGTTGATAACTTTTAAGTACTTGTTTATATATATATATATATGCATGTGACTCATCGTATCTAGAAGAGTCACATGGTATGGTATCGATTTTTTAAAAAAATAATTGATTGAATTATCTCTGAAATTTGAATTTTAAATTTTGCCGAAAAAGTATCGTTAGAGAATTTCTTTAAAAAAAAAAAAGATAAAATTGATATAGATATATGTGACAAAGTAAATGAGAGGTACATGAATTATTCGATACCACGTTCAAATGAGAGCAATTCTGAGAACAGAACCAACGTGGTTCACCTTTCTTTAAGATGACTTAATCATAGGAGTTACATAGTTAAGCATGCTTTACTTGGATCAATTCTACGTTGGATGACCTCTTATGAATTTTCTCGAGATGTATGAGAGTGAGGACTAGACATGCTTCGAGGACTCGTGTTGGTCTGTGGGGATAGTCTTCACTCTTAAGAAGCGAAGAATAGGTAACATGACCATGTCGTAGGAGATGCAGGAAAATGTCGGGGTCATTAGGTGTCGAATCCAGATTTTCTTTTGCATACTTAAAAATGTTTCTCATGTCTAACTTCTCATTATAACATTCTCGACTATAGGATTTGGCATGAGGGACCAACTCGATGGCTCTTACCTTTATATATCACATCAGGGAAGTAGTCTAACCCAGTTGTGTGAAGCTCCTAATGAAAAAGTACTCTCATTCAAGCGTGATAATATATCACCTTTCTCAATGTTCAACGCTCCCATCGAACTAATATCCAAAGATTCTCTGGAACAGTGGTTTGAAATGATAGTTGCATATATAGGATGATGATACAAATTAGTCCGAATATGAATAACGTAGTGGTTCATGCCAGCCAAGAACACAAGTTTAAAAAATTAAATGATTATTAAACGAAACGAAATTGCGTGGGAACAAAGGTATTTATGGACACTGCAGCTTCAACATGGGTTTGTACCAAAAGTTCTTCTTCTTACTGTCTTTGACCCTTCTCTGCATTTGATAGTTAATGATTTGATGATTGACAAAAATGGCATCCAATGTTTTCTTCATAATCCCTTATCCAAAAACACTGCAGTTCCGTAACGTTCTTTGTAACGGACCAAACCTAGTTACGGTTAGTAGATATTATTCTATTTGTATTTTTCCTCTAAGTTTTCATAATGTATCCGTTAGGGAGAGGTTTACACACCCTTTCAAAAATGTTTCGTTCTCCTCCCCAACCCCAACCGATATGAGATCTCACAATTCACTCCTCTTTAGGTCCCAGTGTCTTTGCTGATACTCGTTTTCCTCTTCAATCAATGTGGGATCTCACAATCCACCCCCTTCGGGGCCAGCGTCCTCGCTGACACTCGTTCCTCTCTCCAGTCATTGTGGGATCTCACATTCCTTACGAGTTAGTGATTCTAAAAGGGTCAATATCACTTTCATCGTGTTAAAAACCGCTCGGAAACATGCTTTAAATCATTCTAAACAATGATTTTGAGTGTTCTTCACATCATCAAAATTGATTATCAAGCATTAAAGAATCCATGAAAGAGAAAATGTTATGAGAGGAAGCCATGTCCCATAAACCCTTCATTCATTATATCGCAGATACATTCAAAGAATCTAAGGCTATTTTGGTGTTAAAAAAGAATGGAAGTTCATTAATTTCCTCAACAGCTGATGTTAAAGAAAGAGAGATTAAAGCTAATTGTTGCATTTGAAGAACAGCAACAAATTTATTGTTGTGGAAACAAAACGTACAACATCATAGACTTCAATGATATCAAAAGCTTCGAAAGGTTAGTGCTCATAAATTAAAAGGCTATGATATAGCAAATACGATGGCCTTTGCCAATACTCATTGGTGTCCTGGATGATACCACCCCCAACTCATTGCTCATTTAAGTCTTCTTTTCATATCCATTTTCTTTCTTAAATAAGGGGAAGACACCTAAATTTCGTGTCAAAAACAGACAACAAAAAACGAAATCATTATCAAACGAGACTTCAATTTTTTGACGTGTTTTTGACGGGGTTGCACCTCTTCCTTCTATTCTAACTTAAAAAGCAATTGCTAGATTGTTACTCGTCTCTTATTTCTAAGACTCAAACAAAACAATAAAGTTATATGTTTTTTCCGCTGAACCACACTCGTCGACCTCCGATCAAGCTAAGAGCACGAGTAGGTAGGTGGCTAGAGGTTCAAAAAAGAAAAAGATAACTTAAACCCTTGTTTGGTTTGTATAGGCTGGGCTTACATTTTTCACCTGCATTGTACAGTACGATGGGAAGGTTCCATTACCTCCTTTAGATATCTCGATCCCCCGTGTTCCTCGAGCTAGAACGAGAGTTGCCGTGGAATCTGCGCTCACATATGAGTACCTCACCTTCCAAAAAAAAGCATATGCTAATTGGCACTATAATAGCTCGAGAGACTAGAAGCGTAAATTCCATGGTCCGAGCCTGCTACCTCAACTCAGCCTAGAAAGATATACAAAGCTCGATCTCAAGATGTAACCTTTAAGTTCATAAACAAAATAAAATGGGAATTTGAACCTCTAATATTTAAAAGACTAATTGGTTATTAAGTCGGGCTCAAATTTGATATTATGACCTACTTATTCAATGCATTCATGCATATATCAATATTATATACATAGATTCGAACTTTTAACCTAGCTATACATATATTTAATTTGAAGTCACGTTACTTAAGTTAAACCGTTAGTGACAAGTATGAAGAACGATGAAAATTGTTCTTTTTCGAAGATAGAACTTAAAACTTTGAAGAGGTGAGACTGTGTCGACCTAAGCCGTAAATATTTAAGAATCTAAATCCAAAAGGGTAATTTAAGCAATAAAAAGTATAGTATATAGTATTATATATTACTTGTAATTAAATTGGCATCTCCATTGGAGGATCTTAAACACACTTCCCTCCCATGCCTTTATTCATACAACAATAGAATTCCGACTTCTAATTTCCAATTTTCAAGCCATCAAAGCCAAAACATCTTATTCTCATCCTCTTCAAATTCGAACCCTCAAGCTACCTCTTCATGGCCATTGCCGTCGTCGTCGCCCCCGTCGCTGCCAAATCTAGCAACAGCGCAATCGGCCGCAAACAAGCTGGAAGTTTCAAACTCCTTCTCCCTACCCATCACCGGCATAGCCGCCTTCAAATTCACGTTGCTCACATACCCGGCGCCATAAGTCTGCCCCAAAACGCCGTTCACTCCGCCGCTCAACTCGAAAAACTTAAACCCTACGTCCAAATGTGCAAATGAATCCCCTTCATCAATTCCATAGCTATGAACCCTCGAGTCCTCTTCTGTTATTGGCACCACCTTGGCTGTGATTCTGAACAGCCCTTTGGCTTCCACCATCACGTGGTTGGCTGCACCGAGCCGGACGATGACGATGGTAGGGTTTTCGGTAGGGTGTTGCCATTGGCTGCCTTCAGATTCAGGGAGAGCCACCGGGACGTCGTCGAGGGCAATTGTGAGGCGGTCGATGGAATCGTCCCATACGGCGGTTTTTTGCGCGGCGATTAAGAGCCGGTGAGTGTTGAAGAGGATACCGAGGGATTGGACCCAAGTGAAGTCTCGTGTTAAGGACGGGTTTCGTTTTCCGATGAAATGGGCGTTGATGTGGAGATTGGGATCGGAGACAAGACAGAAATCTTTGTCTTTTTGGCCGTGGAAGTAGAAGGTTATGCCGTCGCCGCCGATGAAACGTGGGTCTTGGCATACTGCTCCTGGTCTGTCGCAATCTGTCAATTGCAATCCAAAATTAAGAATTTCAAATCTTAAAATATTTTAAAAGTTATTGGGAAAAAAAAAATTAAATCTAAAAGTTCGGATATTTTAAGGTGGGTGTTTGGGTGATGATAGTATGCTTACGGCAGACGGGTTTGCAAGTGACGCAATCAACTTGACATCCATTAGGGCAAGCGCTGGGACATGTGTGGATCATGTTGTAACATTGAGGGTAATTTGCGTTTTTGCATCTTACTCTCTTGGCTGCGCCGGCTGAGGAAGATGGTGGAGGTGTTGATGGAGGGTTGGGATTCCCCGGAGGATAGGAATGCGTCGGAGGTGTCGATGGAGTAGATGGGGTTGGAGGGTTGGGGCTCGTCGGGGGTGTTGATGGAGGGTTGGGATTTTCCGGTGGGTTGGAATGTGGCGGAGGGTTAGGGTTTGACGGAGGGTTTTGATTCCCGGGAGGATAGGAATGCGTCGGAGGTGTTGACGGAGGGTTAGGGCTCGATGGAGTAGATGGTGTTGGAGGGTTGGGGCTCGTTGGAGGTGTTGATGGAGGGTTTTGATTCCCGGGAGGATAGGAATGCGTCGGGGGTGTTGACGGAGGGTTAGGGTTCGATGGAGTAGATGGTGTTGGAGGGTTGGGGCTCGTCGGAGGTGATGATGGAGGGTTTTGATTCTCGGGAGGATAGGAATGCGTTGGAGGTGTTGACGGAGGGTTAGGGCTCGCCGGAGGTGTCGATGGAGTAGATGGTGTTGGAGGATTAGGGCTTGTCGGAGGTGATGATGGAGGGTTTTGATTCTCCGGAGGATAGGAATGCGTTGGAGGTGTTGACGGAGGGGTAGGGTTTGTCGGAGGTGAAGGCGAAGGAGTTACCGGTGTCGGTGAAGGCAAGGGCGGGGAATATGAAGGAGTAGGTTCTGAAGGAGGAGGGCTTGGAGTTACGACCACCGGAGGAGGAGGCGAGTAATAATTATCCGACGGAGGAGACGGGGTAGCCGGAGTAGGATCATCCTCAGGCGGAGGACTAGCATCACCACCACAAATAGGCTTACAAGATGCACATTCCACAGTACATTGATCAGGGCAAAACTTAGGACAAACATGATCCAAATTATAACAATGCTTATACTTCTTAATCTTGCACGAAGCATGGCTCGGGTTCTTAGCGATCCCGGGCGGCGTCGCATCCGCCATCGCCATCACCATCACTGCCACAACAAGCGGCACAAGAACCCGAAACGTCGAATGAGAAGCCATTGGAGAACAAGAAGCAAAACAAAGGAAGTTGTTCACGAGATATGAGCATACCCAAAACCCATATCCAATTTATACACATAATTCTAAGCACCCACATGCCAAATCCTTGGAACTTCGCAACAATTTAGGTAAAAGCATCCAAAATTGTTGGCTTCTAAAATGAAAAAAGAGGCCTTTCCCACATCGTAGAAGCTTTGCCAAAGAAGAACAATCAAGATGAGAGTAACTTAAGGTAGAAGGTTGCTTTCTGGGAAATTATTCAATTGAATTTCAACTATATAGCTTGGAAATAAAGTGAGAAATTTGAATAATTGGATATTGTTTATAGTTTCCATATGGTTTATTTAATTATAATTCATACATTCAACGAACAATTCAGGAGTTTATGACATGATTCCTTTTGATTATAGTCAACTTATAGAAAGTGATTCACTTTTTGTTGCGAGGAATGCAAGAATTATATAACTTCTTTCTTCATTAGTGATAAGTGGTGTGGTTTTTAAAAGTTACCACGCTCTGGCTCACCGCTAGCACATATTGTCCTCTTTGAACTTTTTCTTACTGACTTTCTCTCGAGGCTTTAAAACGTGCCTACTATGAAAAGACTTTCACACCCTTGGAAGGGATGTTTCGTTCTCCTCCTTAACCAATGTGGACTCTCACGAGGAATGAACCTCTTCTATTCGTTTATTTCTTAGTAAAACGTCTCGAATCAAAGATTTTCCTTCTTCAACTAAATTTTACGGTAGAGAATCAGTTTGAGTTTCGCAAAATATTGGTCTCTTAGTTTTCAAACTCATTGTTGTTAAGGGTGTACATTGAATTTGAAAATACAAAAACTCGAATCGACCCAACCCGAATCACAAGGATTGGGTTGGATTTTTTTTTTGGAATCGATTCGATTCGGTTCAATGGAAAAAATCGAGTTACCTTGATCCAAACCAAATATTAAAAAAAAAAAAAAAAAAATGTGTTATTTGTTAGATAAACATGATTATCCACAATGGTATGATATTGTCCACTTCGAGCATAAGTTCTCATAGCTTTGCATTGGACTTCTCGAAAAGGTCTCATGTCAATGGAAAGAGTATTCCTCGATTATAAACTCATGATCATTCCCTAAATTAGCCGATATGGGACTTTCATCCAACATTATTATCATATCTACTCGAGACAGAAGAGTTATTTCATCTCGACATGCAAAGGTCATTTTTTTCAACTCGATCTAATGGGTGCATAGATGCCTATAAAATTTTATTCTAGTAACATTTTGGTCTCTCTTTTTAGAAAGTATATATTTAAAAATGATATTCTCCCTCCTCTCTCTTCCTTTTCACTCCTCCATCCATGGCTACCGCGGGGGTGCCCTTCGTTTGCTGGAAAGGAAGAGCATCCCTTTCGTTTCCAGCAACAATAAGCAACCCGCCAAGGGGTTGGGCTTTGTTCTTTTGTGCTACGAACGAGCCTATATTGTTACTCAACAGATGTCATTTGCATATCATTTGTCCCGTCAATTCATGTGGAAGATATGGTAAATGATGTCACTTATAGGGGTACATTCAACCCGATAACCTGGACCAACCCAACCTAAACTATAAGAGTCGGATTGGGTTGGATTAGCATTTCGGTAGGGTTGGATTCATTTTTCTGAACCCGAACTGAATTGGTTTGGATTCAGTTCAGTGGGACAGAACTCTTGGATTAATACAAGACAAATAAAAATATATTAAGAATCACAATTTATATAATTTTTTTATTTTTTTTAATAGTCAGGACTCTTTCAGGGTCATGTATAAATAAGAATAATTTAATTAATTTTTTTTTATTATATACAATATCTCCAAACTAATCATTTCTATTGTTTATTTAATTTCATGATCTATCCTTATATTTTTTTTTTGTTACTTAACTAATTCTAAAAAAATATGGACACTGTTAAGTTTTTTTTAGAATAATAATAGATTGATTTGCATTTATGTGTAAACTTTTAATATATTTTATCTCGAATAATGGTAAATTGTGGATAACTAAAAACTTAAGAAAAATTTGACAACCCAACCCGAAAATGGAGGGTTGAGTTGGGTTGTGAAAAGTTTTGGCTTGGATTACTAATCCAAGCAACCCGAACTTTTGAATTGGGTAAAAAAAAATCGCTCAACTAAACCCAACCAGGACCATGTACACCCCTAATCACTTATGTCTTCCAACTTTTACACCAAGATTTAGTAGTTTTTCTTAATCGTCAATCGGAGCAAGTAGTTAAGACATTAATCACTATCCCAAATATCGATAGTTTGTCTCCCATCAGCTTCAACTCAAAAGAAAAACAAAACCTAAATTGTATCATCACAAGCCCAAGCCCAAACCTAATTTTATCTTGGAAAGGAATCAATCCACTCTTAGGGCTAGCGTCCTAGCGGCCCACCATAGTTCGTTGTAGTAACCCAAGCATTTCCACTAAGACATCAATCCACCTCTTTGAGAGCCAGCATCCTCGTTTGGACAATGTAGTTTTGTCTCCCATCATTTCCACACCATTATAAGAAATCAATCCACTCCTTGGGGGCCAATGTCCTCGCACTAGCTCATTGCTCAGTGCATCGCTCTTATACCATTTGTAATAGCCCAAGCCCTGTGGCATGCCTCTTATATCATTTGTAATAGAGCCAAGCCTACCACTAGTAGATATTGTACGCTTCGACCCGTTACATATCGTCATATGTCTCACAATTTTAAAACGTATCTTTTAGTAAAAGATCTCCATACCATTCTAAGGAATGATTCATTCTCTGCAACCGACGTAGGATCTCGCGTAAAGTTACCCGAACATAAATTTGATTTGAGAAAAAAAAAAAATAGTATACATTGGCTTTGTTTCCCTTTATTAAAGAAGATGTACAATATATTGTGCAGTTCTTAATATGTAAAAATAAAGAAGGAAGAACTGAACTTGTTTTGCGGATCAGTGGACAGATATGTGTGAGCAGCTAATAAAAAAATCCTCCTCAACTTCCATTCCCACGAAGCTCCATTAAAATCTCTCCCCCAAAACCTCTCCGCCACAACAATCTCTCCGCCATGAAAACCCCTTCCAACTCCCTTTCTCTCCTCCTCTTCTTCCTCTCTCTCTCCTCCCTTGTTCAATCTCTCACCTCCCCCTCCGATATCTCCGCCCTCAAGGCATTCAAATCCGCCGTCAAACCCTCCTCCATCACCCCTTGGTCCTGTTTAGCCTCCTGGAATTTCTCCGTCGATCCCTGTGCTCTCCCTCGCCGCACCTTCTTCTCCTGCGGCCTCCTTTGCAACTCCGCCGCCACTCGCATCACCCAACTTACCCTCGATCCCGCCGGCTACTCCGGCACCCTCTCTCCGCTCCTCTCTCGCCTCACTCAGCTGACCATTCTCGACATCTCTGATAATTCCTTCTCCGGCTTAATCCCCTCTGCAATTTTCTCTCTCCCCAATCTCCAAATCCTCACTCTCCGATCAAATTCCTTCACCGGATCCATTCCCCCTTCGATTTCCAACCTTAAATCCCTCGAATCGTTGGATTTCTCCCACAATTCCCTCGCCGGAAATCTCCCCAAATCTCTGCATTTCCTCTCTGTTTTAAGACGCCTCGATCTCAGCTTCAATCGACTCACTGGTTCCATTCCCAAACTCCCACCAAACTTGCTCGAATTGGCTTTAAAACGAAATTCAATTTCTGGGTATTTGGTTAAATCGTCCTTCTCCGACTCCACTCAGTTGGAGGTGATCGAACTCAGTGAGAACTCGCTCGCCGGAACCTTGCCGGCCTGGTTCTTCCTCCTCCCTTCCCTCCAGCAGATCAACCTGGCTAATAACAGCCTAACACGTCTCGAGATCTCCCCTGCCGCAGCCTCCGGCAGCGATCTTGTAGCCGTCGATTTGGGATTCAACAGAATTGAAGGGAACTTGCCGGTGAATTTCGCGAGCTATCCGGCGCTGTCATCGTTGTCGCTTCGGTACAATCGGCTACGTGGCGCGATCCCATTGGAGTTCAGTAAAAAGAAGACGATTAAGAGGTTGTACTTGGACGGGAACTTTTTGACTGGGAAACCGCCGGCGGCGTTCTTCACCAGCGGCGATGATCTGGTTTCCGGTAGCTTGGGGAATAATTGTCTGCAGGGATGTCCAGTGTCGTCTCAGCTGTGCGCTCCGTCGCAGAAACCGAACGCTGTTTGCAAGGAAGTGTACGGAAGCGGGAGGGGAAAAGGAAAACCGATGACCTGAAACCCGACATGTCGGTCAATGAATTAATTATATAGCTTTTTGTTTCTTTTTTTTATTATTATTTTTAGGATGAATCTCGAGGATTATGAATGTGAGTGTTAATTTAGTCACCAAAATTTTAAAATTACATTTAAATCAAATTATAAGGGTGTGGAAATGTAAAACCCTTAAGGTACCAGACAATATTTATTAATGGTGGGCTTTGACTATTACAAATGGTATCACGCAGATATTGACAATATCTATTAATGGTGGGCTTTGACTGTTACAAATGGTATCAGGCAGGTGTGCTAGCTAGGATGCTAGCCTTCTAAGAGAGGTGGATTGTGAGATCTCACATTGATTGGAAAGAGGAACGAAGTATTCCTTATAAGGGTGTGAAAATTTCTTCTCAGGAGACGCATTTTAAAATTGTGAGACTAACAAGAATACGTAAATAGCCAAAGTGAACAATATCTACTAGCAGTGGGCTTGTGGGCTTGGATTATTACAAATGGTATTAAAGTCAGACACCGGATAGTGTGCCAGTGAGGACCCTAACCCTCAAAGAGGGTGGATTGTCAGATCCCACATCGTGTGCTAGTGAGGACTCTAACCCTCAAAGGGGGTGGATTGTCAGATCCCACATAGTATGCCAGTGAAAACTTTAGCTGACTCTAGCCCACAAAGGGATGGATTGTCAGATCCCACATAGTGCGCTAGTGAGGACTCTAGCCCTCAAAGGGGGTGGATTGTCAGATCCCACGTTAGTTAGAGAGGAGAACGAAACATTTTTTATAAGGGTGTGAAAATATCTCCTTATTAGACGCATTTTAAAATTGTGACGCTAGACGACAATACTTAACAAGACAAAACAGAGAATACCTATTATTGGTGGGCTTGAGCTATTACAAACCTCTAGTGATTGAAAGCTCCTTTCCCTAGTGAAATATGTCAGAAGGGACTTGACTTACCTCGACGACGGTGAAGCACAATGTCTTCATAATCGAGCTCAAAGTTCATCAGATTTTCGTTAATAGTTCAAGGACCATTTAAAATTATTATTCAAAGCTCGAGTCGAAACTAACTTAAACGAAGATAAAAGTGCATTTTTTGACCTAATAATAATAATAATAAATTTAATTTGAAGTAATATAAAATAGGATAAACAAGTAGTGTAATGGTGATGTGCACCACCACGAATGTGAATGATGGAAAGAAAGTGGGGTTGAAGAAGGGGTGTGAACACGCGCCATTGGACGAGAGTGGTGGTAGAAATGATTAGCTTCGCTTTTTTTAATGGCTTTGGGTACTTCACTACTGTCGGTCACAATGTCAGTCTTCACAAGACTTTTACTCCCGATGTGGGAGATCCATCCAATTCAAATATTGCATAATTTAATCGATAAATTTTTATTTAAACAAAAAAAAAATTATATATATTAGTTAAATAGGATAGAGATTTAAAATTTTAAAAATGATAGTGGTAGAGTATTATATTTATATTTTTGTTTATGAAATATTATTAAATTTATTTAGAATTTTAAAAATATAAAAAATTAGGAAATAATTAAAAAATTAATTAATTTTCACATAAAATTAAAAGATTTTTTTTGTTTTTAATCTAAAATAACTAAAAAAGATTCGAGAAAATAAGTAAATAAATAAATTTAACTTTTTAAAAAGATGGAATACTCCAGCTGGAGCTTCGAATATATTTCTTTATGAAAGGCTTAAAGTTTAAGGAAGTAATTAAGTTGAATAATAAATTCATAATTTTTTTAAATTGTGGGTAAGAAATGTAATTAATTATATTATTAAACCATTTAATTAATTTAATTATATGACACAACACCTCGTGTGTAGTAGTTTTCTATCTAAGACAAAAAAAATTATCTCCAATTTCAATAAATAACTCTCAATAATCTTATCAATAGTTTTCTCGTAATGGTTAGTAGCTTGACAAAAGTTAAGAGGTCTTTTATATTAATTCCATTCTAATTTAATAAAGCATGCACTGACTATACACGTGTAATGCATCAAAGTGACTCGAGTATTTACATAAACTATAAACATCGAACTAGTTCGATAATAGGCTTCCAAACAATCCAAATATATGAATAAAACATAATTTAAAACTACCTAGATATATGCTAAACACAACAACAAAAATTTAGAAAGAAAGGTTTAAGTTGGTTACTTTCTTTGGTTGGTTGAGGGTGGATTTGTGACGATGTGCGAACAAGAGCTTGATGGGAGCTGATCATCAGAGGTTGAAGAACGGTTCGATGTCGACTGATGGGAGCTGACACGTACAGTATATTCGGGCCACTGCCTGTTGACTATGAGCGGCGGGCCGATTTGTACTATTGGAAGAACTTGGGTTTGGCCATGAAGTTCGGCCTAGGCTCTTTAAAAAAGGTCTCACTCTTTTTTTCTTTTTCTTTTTTAATTTAATCGGGTTGGGTCGAGTTGATTCTTTGTACACTGAACCTATATCCAACCTGAACCGAGTTGGGAATTAAAGATACAACTCAATCAAACTTGCAATACTACTAACCCAACCTTTCTAATATGGGTTAGCTCAATTTTGGTTCACTTACTACATGTATATATTAAATGTCCTAATCAGAGTTATGTCAATGTTATAGTAATCAATGGTCTATTAGCTAGATTGGTTAGAGCTCATATAGCTTAGTTGGTTAAAGTGTTGTACACGAAGGTTGCAAGTTTGAAACCTTGCATGGGCCACAATTTTTTACGAGGATCAAACTTTAAGGTCTTGTACCAATTATCTAATCTATGTTCGAAATGTTGTGTTCAGAGTTACGTCTTTGTTTTATTAATCAATGACCTATTAACTCAGTTGGTTAGAGCGTCGCGTTAATAACGCGAAGGTCGCAGGTTAGAAACCTGTATGGGCCACAATTTCGTATGAGGATTAGACTTATGGATCTTGTATCTAAGCTCAAACTGCATGGGCCACTATTTCGTACTAGAGAGTGATACTTATGGGTCTTGTACAATTATCTAATCTAAACTAGGATTGAATGGTTTTTGTAATAAATGGCCTATTAGCGCAGTTGGTTAAAGTGTCGTGCTAATAACGCAAAGGTAGCAAGTTTGAAACATCTAATCTAAGCTTGGATTGCACGTTTCGAAAGTTATGCTTAGTTGTTCTATTAAATAATAATCAAGTGTCTATTAGCTAAGTTGGTTAGCGCTCAGAGTTATGTCAATGTTTTTGTAATCAATGACCTATTAGCTCAGTTGGTTAGAGCATCGTGCTAATAATGCGAAGGTCGCAGGTTTGAAACCTGCATGGGTCATTATTTTGTATGAAGATGATGCTTATGGGTCTTGTACCAATTGTGTAATCTAAGTTTGGATTGCACGGTCGGAATGTTAGTGCTTAGAGTTATGTCTTTGTTTTATTAAATAATCAATGGCTTAGTTGGTTAGAGTGTCGTGCTAATAACAGGTCGCAAGTTCAAAACATATAATCTAAGCTGGTCGCAGGTTCGAGCTTAGACAATTGGTTTGACAATTGTCTAATCTAAGCTTGAATTACATGAATTTCGTGTAATCCAACCTGCAACAATTGGTTAGAGCGTCATGCTAATTACGTGAAGGTTGTAGGTTCTAAACCTGCATGAGCCACTATTTTGTATGAAGATGATGCGGTCTTGTTCCAATTGTCTAATTGCGTTCAGAATGTTGTGCTAACTCAGTTGGTTAGCGCGCTCAGAGTTATGTCAATGTTTTTGTAAACAATGGCCTATTAGCTTAGTTAGTTAGAGCATTGTGCTAATAACGCGAAGGTCGCAGGTTCGAAACCTGCATGGCCCACCATTTTGTATGAGGACGATACGCACTCGCAGTTTCAAAACCTGCATGAGCCACTATTTTGTACGAAAGATGATGCGGTCTTGTACCAATTGTCTAATCTAAGCTTGGATTGCGTTCAGAATGTTGTGCTAACTCAGTTGGTTAGCGCGCTCAGAGTTATGTCAATGTTTTTGTAAACAATGGCCTATTAGCTCAGTTGGTTAGAGCGTCGTGCTAATAACGCGAAGGTCGTAGGTTCGAAACCTGCATGGGCCACCATTTTGTATGAGGACGATACGCACTTGCAGTTTCAAAACCTGCATGAGCCACTATTTTGTACGAAAGATGATGCGGTCTTGTACCAATTGTCTAATCTAAGCTTGGATTGCGTTCAAAATGTTGTGCTAACTCAGTTGGTTAGCGCGCTCAGAGTTATGTCAATGTTTTTGTAAACAATGGCCTATTAGCTCAGTTGGTTAGAGCGTCGTGCTAATAATGCGAAGGTCGCAGGTTCGAAACCTGCATGGGCCACCATTTTGTTACGAAGATGATGCGGTCTTGTACCAATTGTCTAATCTAAGCTTGGATTGCGAATGTTGTGCTAACTCGTTAGCGCGCTCAGAGTTATGTCAATGTTTTTGTAAACAATGGCCTATTAGCTCAGTTGGTTAGAGCGTTGTGCTAATAACGCGAAGGTCGCAGGTTCGAAACCTGCATGGGCCACCATTTTGGATGAGGACGATACGCACTCGCAGTTTCAAAACCTGCATGAGCCACTATTTTATACCAAGATGATGTGGTCTTGTACCAATTGTCTAATCTAAGCTTTGAGTTATGTCAATGTTTTTGTAAACAATGGCCTATTAGCTCACTTGGTTAGAGTGTTGTGCTAATAACACGATATGCTTATGGATCTTGTACCAATTAGATTCAATAATCAATAACGCAAAGGTCTAATACCAGCTACGAACATAATAATAGAAAAAGAAATTATATTATTTCAAAAGACACTAAACCTCAAGAATATACTACAACGATGTAGTGAAAAGCCTCAACAGTTTCTATGATTTTGATTTGATCTACTAAAAATACTCGTTGATAAAGTGGTATTTTAACATATATTCATCACCTCTTAATTAATTGGAGAACTCAAAGTATATTACTTGTAAAGTATATATAAAGCATCATGGAGAGTCTTTTATGATAATGTTGTTGCATAGCCAATCAAAACCCTCATACAGCCCTTGCCCAGAAGTTGCAGACGTACCTTGTATGTACCTTTAAAAAAGCAAATATATATATATAATATATTAATCTTCGTTTTTTAATTACAGATTTAGTCATTAACTTTAATTATATCTAATAAATTCTTCAAATTTAAAAAATATTTCATAAATTCTTAAACTTTTATGTATACTTTTAGTATAAACGATGTATACGACCAATCGAAAAAACTAGGATTTATTTATCTAATCCTAAAATACTATCATGCTAAAAATTCAAGATAAAAATGGAGGAAATACGTACAAAATTAAGCTAAGCTAAAGCTGAATTTTTTTTTTCTAAAATTGACGTTTGTAAAATATAATCTCAAAATAAATTAGACACAAAATTAAAAATTCAAATGGTACACAAAAGATTTAACCAAATTAAAACATTTTGAAGAATTTAAAAACGAAAAATATATTTAAAATTAAAAAACTTTTGGAAAAAAAAAATCAACAAAAAAAGTTTCCAACGAAAAAACATTCTTTTAACAAACAGAAAATTGTTGTAAACCATGATTTCAGAACAGATTCAAAAGTTCATATTCTTCCCAGATATTTTGCAACAGAACAAAAATAAGTTGCGTACCATCTTCTTTGAGAGAGGCTGTGGAGGCCAAGTTTAGTTGCAATTTCAGACACAGGCATTGATTGTGGAAGATCTTGCTTGTTAGCAAACACAAGCACAGCTACATTCCTTAGCTCTGGCTGTCATTTTCTTTTTCTTTTCGCATCTTAAAATCATCTCAACAAGCATAAGAATATACCTAAACATAGTGAAGGTTGAGTGCTATACCTCACTGAGAATGCGATGCAACTCATTCCTGGCTTCGCAGATTCTCCCTCTGTCACCGCTGTCCACAACATATACAAGTCCTTGTGTGTTCTGGAAGTAATGTCTCCATAATGGCCTTATCTGTTTGGTTCAAAACAACTTAAATATTTTGTTACCCACTCCAATAAATATAGTTTTATCACCAGAACTATCTAAATTTTATGGTACATTTTCACATTTAATTTGAAACCAAACCAAGATTCCATTCGGCCTATAAAATTTTTATTTATTTGAACTTAACCAAACATAAATAGGTTGATAATTCAACTCAAATGGCTCTTCTCACTGTAATAAGCAAAGCCTTCGGCCCCAAGATGAGATTCAAAGTTATTTTTACAACTAAAACTAATTGGAAATATATCTAGATAAGTTATCTTCACCTTATTTATTTTGTTAATTTCAAACCACTACAACAAACATCAAAGAAATATTTTTGCAGGGTTATTTGAAATGTTATGTTCTAGTTTTAGAACTTTCACAAGCATATGTTTTGACCATTATTGTTACAGTTTCATTAACATAAATTTTGAAGCAGATGTTCTTTAGTTTTTCAGATCGCAATCGAAGTAAAGTTTTAGCAGAAACAGAGTGAGAGGGTGTGATTTCAAACCTTATCTTGTCCTCCAACGTCCCAGACAGAGCAGCTAATGTTTTTGTATTCTAATGTTTCCACATTGAACCCTGGATCATAAAATGCAACTATAAAAAAAACTCTCCAACAATTATTTTGCAGAAGTGTTCTTTTCAATTTCACACACTCCAGGTTGATAGTAGTAGAATACTTGAAAAAAAAAATTAAAAACAAAAATTCTCAAGAAAACAATTAGTAGAAACAGTAATATTACAAATTGCTAGTAAACAAAACTATTTTGCACAAATAAAATAATTGAAAATTATTGTTATCAAAATTAAGTAATTATTAATATATAAAGGGTAAAATAAGGAAAATACTCCATAAAGTTGTAATATGTAGCTAAAGAATACAAACAAAAGTATATATTCTCCATTTTGTCCAAGACATGCACATTATCGAACCAAATTTCAAAAGAGAAAAAGCAGGATCAAAATTTTCTAATAAAACTATTTCTTGAAAATAATTTTAAGAAAAAACTAAATAATAACACGGGTTAATATCCATTTTATCTCAAAACAATTTATTTGTCAAAAAATGTGGGGAAATAAAGATGGGTTTTCAGAGTAAAATCCTATCCAGAATATATAAATAAATAAATGATCAGAGAGTATACCAATAGTTGGTACGGTCATAACAACTTCACCAAGTTTTAGTTTGTACAAAATGGTTGTCTTCCCCGATGCATCAAGACCGACCATCAGGATTCTCACTTCACGGTTCTGGAAGAGTCGCTTCCTCAACCTGGTTATCACTGCACCCATGCTGCAGTATACAAGGAATATAAAGAAGATGGCAAAATTTTCAGTGCAAGTGCACCAGATCTTAGTTCTGTGGGAGAAAGTAAGGCCAACTGAAAAAGACAAAGCCAAAGCATCAGTTTACAGGGAGATGGCATGAGAGATACCTTGTCTTCCAAGTGAATATTAGACCAAAAACTTCTACATGTAAAGGCTGAAAGAGAATTGATTCTTTGGGACAGAAGGCAATAAAGCTCTTTGTCTCTCCTTCAAGTATATTTGTTTGCCAGAGTGAATGAACTTACTTAGACTGATGGAGAAGCTTCTTCATATCTGAAAGGAATATATTGAACTACTTTAGAAAGCAATATAAAGCACTTATCTTCTACTGAAACACAAACTATGGCCCAGCTCTTTAAACGAAGACACGTGATATATTGATCTTGGGCAACAAAGGGTCTCCTCCAAGTAGCCATTGACTCATAATATTATGCACAAGAATGATGGCCTTTTCATTACAGGAAACCTGAAAACAGTCATTGACTCATTGATGTTGGTAGGAGACATTTTCGTGAAAGAAGTTTCTATTGGTTGCCCGTTGTTCGCACTCGAGCATATTACAACGATTGAAGATGAATATCAATGAAATCATCTTTTAGGATTACAAACTATACAGATAAAGTGTGAAAATAATCTAGATATGTTCAGTTTTTGGTAGCTGATTGGAAGATGAAAACTGCTGTCAGTATGCCAACCAGTGCGGTAACTGCCAAGGCCACACTAGGCAGAGGAGTCGTTACTCCAAAATTCTGCATCATGAAAACAGTGATTCTGGTGAGGTTTCAGTTAATTTAATGTGGTATCACCTGTGAAACTTATCTGGCATGACACTGGGAATTCCTCTAACTGGACAAAATAAACAAATGGGAAGATCAAACACAGTGCTAAAGAATTAAGCATATACAACGACTAGCCTAGAATAATAGATCAGGCCATAACAATCAGGCAGATGCCGCACATCCAATGACCAGCCTAGAACAATTCAATGGTCACTTTTATATCAAGCCAAAATCAGCGAGACAAGTGTCTGAGAATAAAAATGGCAGAGTGACGAAAAAAAAGCCATAGGAATACAATCTAGACACGTTTCAGGGGCCATCATTAGAGCAACCCAACACTTCAAACGGAATACTCAAAGTGGTACAAAGGATACTTTTGTATAAATAATCATGGAGAATATAATTTTTTGAACAGAATATGAGGCCTGATATCAATCTGCTGTGGAGCTAGTATCTTATTAGCTATAAACAATAAGAACTTCAGAATAAACTTGGCAAAATTCGAGCTTCCAAAAGCTAAAGAAATTCCTAAACAATTTCTATCAGCTATCAGAAATATAAGTAACGATGACCCATTTGCTGTAATTAGAAAGGCCATACCTCCAAAAGTCCCTTGCCTGTTGCTATTTCAACACTAATTGCAATTGCAAATCCAACCATCGCAAGCCGCCCAAGCCAAACATCCAGAATGTTACTCTCTTGGCTACTTTGCTCACATCGTATAGAAACAGAATTTGGTTTCACTGTATGTTTCTTTTGACCAGTTGGCTTGCTTAACACTAGGAACAAGAGTAACCATTAGCTGATACTTATAAAATCAAGTGGAATCTATTGCTTCCTTTGCCAAAATCTACGAAGAATTAAAAAATTGCAATTACCATACTATTTTTCAAATGGCTCCAGCTCCAATTTCCTAATAATCTAACAGTAACCATAAAACTCTCTAAGTCAGAATGAAAGTTGCATTAGATCACTTAGACTGGAACTTTTGCAATATTTCTTTCTTAACACCATATCCAGATTTTATTTAGATGTTAGGGCAGTTCAATGTTCATGGCCAGAATTCGTAATATACACCACTGTATACTTGAAATTGCAACTCCAACATAAAATTGAACTGAAGAACTCGTCAAATGATAGAAATCATCAAAAAATCAAGCAGAAACATTCGAACTAGACGAAAAATAGAAATAATAAGAATCAGTACCGAGTGGAGAGCCAGTAGCAAACGTCGTTCCAAGACGGTATGAATTCGGGAGGGAGCCTCTGGGAAGAGGAAAGACTTCTGGTGCTCTTCTTCTTGCGAAGGAAGTATCTGAAACATTGTTTTGGTTTATCAATCGTTTGGATATTATTCAACAATCACAGAACCGAAGAGACGGAGAAGCTGTGAGAGAGATAGAGTACCGCGTACGGCGAGAGAGAGGGAGGCCGAAGCATGAAGAGCCGCCATTTTAAGATCACGATTGACGCCGGAGAAATCCTGAGCTTTTTCCTGAAATTCCTTATCCCTTCTTCCTCAATGACCAAATACACGGATACCAGCGGTTGACGATGGCCGTTTTCTTCCGCATTTTGCTATTTGAGGAATGCCAAACTGCCACGTGTTTCACCTTTTTTTCATTTTTTCGAGTACACTCAATTAATAATACTTTCTAAGATATCTCATCTTCAAAAATTTCATTAATGTTCTCAAATTTTATTTTAGAAAAATTAAAAAATTCTTTAAAATAAAAAGTTAATATTGTGATGGGAATAGAACAAACGTCTATTTATAAGGCTGTTAAACCCGACTCGTTTTAAAGTCACACCATTTATAAGGGTGTAAACCAGTTTTAAAACCACACAATTTATAAGGTTTGCGTTTTAAAGCTTTCAGGGACAGCCCAAGGTGTGAAATCTTATCCTATCGCAACCCTTCAAGGACAACCCAAAGAGTGTCCCTAGGGTGTGAAACCTTCCCCTAGCAGACGCGTTTTAAACCCTTCAGAGACAACTCAAAGAGAACAACATCTACTAGCGGTAGGATTGGGCCATTACAAATATAGTACCATTAATATATTTAAATTTTTTTAATACTCTCGGTTTCTTACAATTAGTACCTTTATATTTTTTTAATATCCTCGGCTTCTTACTATTAGTACATTAAAACTTGTTTAGTACCCTCAATTTTTTGCCATTAGTATAGTCATTTGAACTTTTTTAGTACCCTCGATATCTTAACATTAGTACCTTCAAACTTTTTTAGTACCATCAATTTTTTTTTTTTTGAAGTACTCAATTGCTTTAAAATTATGTCAAAAAAAAAAAAAACTCATTCGGGTTAAGTTGACACTAATTCGTGGGTCACATTCTATTATCATTCACTTCATTACAACAACTGCCAAAGATACCACCAACCCATGTGAACCCCTCTAAATGTAAACACTCACAATAATCAAACAGGATAGCACGTACAATACATGACTTACAAAAGCACAAATAAGCCTTATTTAAATAAATGATAGTTCCAGCAAAGAAACCGAACCAGATTTATAAGACATGTTCGATAATCATTTAGTTTTTAGTTATAAACGGAGGCCGGTGCAGCAAAGTGGGTAAGATAGGCATCGGTCAGCATTTGACCAAGAATGACTCGAGATGTGTCGTGTGAGATAGATGTCGTGTTCTTCGAGTTCCAATCCCCCAAACAACAAAACAAAGCATCAGACAATCAGATAAGATTTATAAGCCGTTGTTCAATAACCATTTAGTTTATAGTTGTGAACCGAGACGAGGTATTTAGGTCGAGGGCTTCGATTTGAGTGGTGGAGCGAAGTGGGTGAGGTAGGCATCGGCCAGCATTTGACCAAGAATGACCTGAGCCTGTGTGGTGAGATGGAGGTTGTCTTCTTTAAGTTCCAATCCCTTTGCATCCACACACACCACATTCTCCACTCTCATTCCCAATTGAGCCTCCCTCACTCTTTCAATATACTTGACTCCTGATGCCAGTGCTACCTGTTTTAAGCAACAATATTTTTAGTCAAAATTTTCAAATCCATGTCCTCTCGATCTTCATCACTTCTTACTGTTAGACGAACACGACTCTCCACAATGGTATGATATTGTCCACTTTGAGCATAAGCTCTCGTGGCTTTGCTTTGGGCTTCCCCAAAAGGCCTCGTACCAATGGAGTTAGTATTCCTCACTTATAAACCCATGATCATTCTCTAAATTAGCCGATGTGGAACTTCCATCATCCAACACTTACAACATTTGTTCGAACTACCACTCGACTCCACTCGACCATAATCACCATTTAAGTTTTCAGAAGTACCATGGTTCGATCTTCGCTTTAAGACCTTGTGTAACTCAGAATCAACACGTCCTTGACTTTCACTTACCATAGCCAAAGTTAACCTTCTATCAATTTTTTTTTACGTCAAGCTTTAATGGACTCATAGAGTGAAAGAGACCCGTATTACTCACCGAACCATCGAACCACAGTTCGTTTCAAGAAAATTTTCTAATGTGGAAGTGCAGACAATAATGCAACCATTCAAAAAAACTACAAACTTAAAGCTCTGATATCACTTAATAGGAGAAAAAACATTTCAGTATTAACGTACGAATAAGTAAAAAAATAGCTGATAGATGAAAAGAAGACAACAAAAATAAGAAAATGAGAATTTACGTAAAGAACTTCAAAATCGAAGAAAAACTATGACCCACCAGAAAGGAACTCACTCCACACTGTGAAAATTTGTTCCAATCACGGAATTCTCTCCTGACTCTAATTACCTAAAAAAATCAAATCTTTATACCACTCACATAACTAGAATTAGTGCACTAGACCGAGATGAGTTGAAACTCAAGTCATATGCTCCTGCTATAGTATTTGGAGCTAGTCACTTTCTTGTACCTTTCAGCGGTGAGAATTCGCTTTTGGATAAATATTAGAAGAATCTCACCTTTAATATTAGAAGAACATTATTCGTACATTTGAGAAGTACAAAAAGTGATGAGCTTCACAACGAACTTATGACTTCGGTTTCAAATCACAATTAAAAATATTTTATGTGAGATCCCACAATCGCAATTAAAAATATTTTATGTGAGACCAGTTGAGAAAGAGCACGGTGGAAACCTCTCCTTAATAGATAAAGTTTTAAAAATTTTGAGGAGAAGCCCGAAAGAGAAAGTCCAACAATATCTACTCATTGTGCCCTGCGCCCAACAATATCTACTCACTAATATCTACTCACTGTGCCACTGTGCCCAACAATATCTTCTTCCTGTGTAACTGCGCCCAACAATATCTACTAACTGTGCCCTGAGCCCAACAATATCTACAAACTGTGCCCTGAGCCCAACAATATCTACAAACTGTGCCCTGAGCCCAACAATATCTACAAACTGTGCCCTGAGCCCAACAATATCTACAAACTGTGCCCTGAGCCCAACAATATCTACTAACTGTGCCCTGAGCCCAACAATATCTACTAACTGTGCCCTGAGCCCAGCCCAACAATATCTACTAACTATGCCCTGAGCCCACCAATATCTAATCACGGTGAAAGCCCACCAATATCTAATCACGGTGAAAGCCCACCAATATCTAATCACGGTGAATCGTAAAATTTTAAACTGAGATCAAAAATAGAATTTTTAATAATTTTCACATAGTAGAATTTTTTTTCAATGAGTTGTGATTTTTCTCCGTTTTGAAATTTTATATCCTAAATTTTTTTATTTCTTATCTTTGTTACTTCCTTTTAATTTTCAATTTTTTTCCTAAAGTAGGAGTGGGAGTTTTTTTTTTTTTTTTTTTTTTTTTANTAACTTGCACTTCGTTCCCAGAGCATGTAAGGTTGCATTACAGATAACCTGTTGACGCCGAAAAGATAACTGTCCTTCATGTTTTTCAGGGAACTTGAGAAAGAGATGGCAGCTCACAGCATACTTCAATACTGAATCTCCAAGCAATTCCAACCGCTCAAAGGAAAAACTCTCACAACTTCCAAGGGTTGTAAGTGCTTCCAAAATCTAATAAAGATGATAGATTCAGATTAATCATATAAAAACTGATCGAAGTCAGGTGCAGATCAACAAGAACATACCAAAGAGCTAGATATACAGAGGCTGTTCGAATGATAATTAATCTCCTTCCTAAGCTGGCTAGCTAACATCAACGATTCAAAACGGTGCATCAAAGATGGTAGCAAGTATGAAGACTTCAAAACCCCCTTTGGGACATCCATGCTAAGCACAAGTTCAGGAGGCATATGGACATGCATTTGTGGCTTTCTGAAAGCAGAGCCAGATTGCAACTTATCACTAGTAACACCTACATGACAATATAGATTTCTTAAAGATTAGGTTGTTCAATATATTGCAAAATTTATACAAAGTTTTTTTTTTTTTTTTTTTTTTTTCCTAATAAGGTTTCTAAATTCCAATATGAACATATTAATCAATAGTCAGAAAAATAAAATAAAATAAATGTAATAAAAATATCACCTGAATAATTGGGAGAGAAGGCAAGGCCAAATCCCGGCGCACATTAGCAACAAAAGCCTCCATATTCCCCTGGTACGCATCAGCATCATGTTCAGTAGAGGTGTCACTCTCTCCTTGAAACCACAGAATTGCCCTAATTTCCCCGCCGTCCTTCACGCTATGTCTCGCCCTCTTCACCATATCCTCATACAGCTTCTCTCCACGCGCCCACTCTTTGATGGCGGTGCCTCCAACAGCGCACGGCACCAGCGCCACCGTCCCTACTCGCTCTCTCACGCCGTTCGCGAACGCCATTCCTGGCCCCACTCCGCACGTCTTCTTCGTGTCGATGTCGGCGTGCAGTGGCTCATGCGCTACCTCCCAATGTAACTTCGCGATCAGACGGAATATCGACGGATGCGGCTGCGCTTCTGGTGGAACCACGCCGTCCCACCGGTGGAGCTTCTTTAAGACGCCGCCTCGCCCGGCCATGTTGCTCTGGCCAGAGAGGATGAAGATCTGCTTGTTTGGTGGTGGATTGGGAGGCGCATTTGTCTGGATCGGATCTAAATCGGTCGTCGCCGCCATGATCTGAATGATTGATGGCTGTAGCGGTGGTGGATTTTTATGCTTCCGTCGTGGTGATTGGCTGTTAGCGTGCGTCTTGGCCTTTTGTGAGCTCTTAAAAGGAAGCGGGCAGAGATTATACTATTTGACTTATAAAAACCGTTTGAACTAATATGGTTCACAATTCTAATAGATTTATTTTTAGGTTATTTTTTATTTAGTAATTAAAATTTCGTAAATATCAAACATTTATATATCTCAATATCATTAATATCAATTACAAATATCAAATATTTTATAAAGTTTTGTTATAGAACCCAATCTTTATAGTTTGGGTTGAGATGATTTGGGTTCGGTAGCTGAAAGTCATATAAACACCTTTAAAAGCTAGCTCGAAGTCGGTCAAAAACTCGCTCTTACTTCAAAGATCAAATGAAAAATTGGAAGCACGTTGTTGACTCTTTAAAGGAAGAAAAACATTATTTTTGAGGTGATCATAAATATTGAGTTTTTCTTCCCGGGCCATAAAAAATATATATATATATATATTTGAAAAAAAAATGTTTTAATATAAAATATAACACTATTTTTCTATTTTAATGAAAAATATCTTGTGACACGAGTAAATGAGTAAATGGTTCATAAAAGAATTGAAAGTTACTATTTATGGCAATAAAGTGCACTTTTGTTTTACGCAATGTGGAGATAGTCTTTACTCTTCAAGATGCGAGGAAAGAGTGTCGTGACCATGTTGCATGGAATACTGAGAATGACAAAACATGCTAGAATGACTCGTATTGGTATGTGGGAATAGTTTTTACTCTTTAAGATGAGTGAGTATCGTGACCATGTTGCATGCAACTCTTAGGTGCCCATTTGATCCTCGATTGACCTAAATGCATGTGACTTCAAAGTTGCTTGTTGAAACTCGCGATGCAGCTCCCTCTTCTCATGTTGTGGCCCGAGGCCAATCTAACCCCAACTGAACTTATCAATGATGCCATTGACACCATCGCAGCTTCAATCTTGCTTATACATTCAATTGACTCTTCTCTTTATGCGTTAGGTGATGCACTATCCTTCTTAATCACATCATACTACTTCTTTCGTTGAGACGAGTGACACTACTAGATTGGTTTTGCCATATTCTTTCATTTATTATTATTATGATTTTGAGTTCAACAATTTGCATAATGGTAGATTCGAGCCTCTAACCTTTTGTGAGACCTAATATTTAAATTATTAAAGTTTATTCTTAAAAAAAAAAAAAAATATATATATATATATATATATATATATATATATATATAAAAATTGATAATTAGAACTCATCCCCAAAATCCAGAAATTCGCCTTCAGTAACATCCACTGTAGGCTCTCTGCCTGCAGCGCTATCGAAGGTTTATTCGATCATCAATAATGCAGTCGCTACTCTCGCCGGTCGGTCGCGGCGGTCCATTCCCGGTCGCCGCAGTTTATACATCAGAGTTACACCTCAGCTGTTTCAATCGTCGACCTTTCTCTGTCCGATACGCATCCAATCTCAAATCTCCTCCTAATTCCCTCCCTTCATTTAGTGCAATTCGACCTCCTTCTTCTTTTTCGTTGTTGCTTTTGAAGAATTTTGGTACTCTGGAGCACAGAAGAGGACAGTTTTGCTCGGATACGTGCGCTTCTTCTAGTCCCATTTCGCCGACGGTTCCCCCAAACGATGAGGCTGAAAAGGCAAAACTGGCTCAGGTTCTCTTTCTTCTAATTCTTTTTGTTCTTTTTTACTAACGTTTTTGATATGACCAGGAAATGTAGTATTGAAACTTAGGCTGACCTTGCTTTAATTTCTTGGGTGAAACCCCAAAAGGATTTTAGATGAATCGTCTTGTTTACTAGTTTCTTGAAGTTCTGCTTTATCTAATTTGATTGACTCTGGACGTTTTCTTACATTCCTACGAAGAGTTTCGCTTTGTAACTTTTTATCTCCTTCCCGATAAACCAGAATAACGAAACAAATAAATCATATTTAAGCTAGGGTAGATTAGATATTGAGCACAAGCAATTCCGCATAAAAATTAAGCAACTAGAGCTAATGGAGATTCCTAAAAGAATGCATACAGAACCTTTGATACCGAAAAATGAAGGGGGAGTTACAAGGGGAGCCTGTTATTCTCCTTTGTGATGCAATGCACAACTTCATTGCAGGTAAGGTGGTGGATGAGCTTCATTTAATCCAATCTGGAACAGATGAGTATGGGACTCCACTGGGTTTAGATTATGCAATTAAGGGAAAAGAGTTTGCCTGAGAGTTCCACTCCAAATCTGGAGGAAATCGAGGATTATCTTCTTTTTGAGGTAGGTAAGTCTAATATTATAGTTGCAACCGTGGTTAAGCATTCGTGGAAGCCTGCAAATGAACTAAACGACTCAAGATGAGGTTATTAAGGGGAACAAAGATGGTTGTTCTAGAAGGGGTTCCTTTCCTAAGCCATTCCCTAGTTTCACTAAAAGCTATGGTTAAGGATTTCGTAACGGGGTTGGGATTGTTACTAGAATGATGATGATCGTATCTCAAGGGAAGAACCAATCCCATCCTAGCTAAGTTACAAGTGCTTAATGAGTCTGAAAAGTCGTTCGCCATGCCTCTGAGTTTACCCACTATCAACAGGTATGATCGTGTAGTAATCTTAATGACACCTCCTCCAAGTCTAGAAGAACAAGATTGAGTGGTGGTGGGGAAATTCTAGCTGGCAACATAATTGAGCCGAACGACACTCTCTATTCTAGTCCTCTATTTTTGGTAAAAATGAAGAGATGTCTGCAACTTACTGTAGACTTTAAAGCACTGAACCTTGAGGTTGTCCTTAATAACTCTCATTCACTCGTAGTGGTTTTTAACCTAACCCTTTTGATATGTTTAAGTAATGAGATTACTTCTCGTCCTTTCAATCATTTAGGTTTTCCTTTAGTAATAACTTTGTGTCTCCTTTTGGAATCCAGCGATTGAAAAGATTCAAAAGTTTCTTGCTTCTTTTAAACGGAAAAAAAAAAAAAAAAAAAAAAAAAAAAAAATCTGAAAAGGTGAGAGAGGTACTCTCATTTAGTTGGTTCTGAGTGGGATCCCAATTTATTTCGTGTCCCGTTTTAAGATCTTCCCTTTGGTGGGTTCTAGGATCAAGAAGATATTAAGAGATTTCTTGTGGGAAGGGATCCAAGAAAGGTGGAGACTTTCATCTTGTTGGATGGGAGATTATGTCCAAGCCAATTTCTTTAGGAGGATTAGGGATAGGAAATCTGAATCTTTGGGAAAAGGCCTTGCTTAAAAGGCTTTGGCGCTTCCCTTTGGAAGTCCACGCTTTATGGGATAGGATCATTGTGACCATGCATTGGCTTCTACCTTCTAATTGGGTCTCTAATCCTAGGATCAAAGGAACTTTTGGGAATACGTGGAGATCGATTGCTATGGGATACACAAAATTCTCAAGCTTTCATTGTCGGGGATAGATTGTCAATTTTCTTCTGGGAGGATTTCTGGCTGTGGGATAGTCCCCATTGCTGCTGCTTTCTTTATCATCATTGCTTGCAAGTTTTCATCTTCTGTAAAGGAAGCCTCTTCTTAACTTTTATATGGTAGTGTGATAAGAGTGGAAAGGCGCCAGTGCATTTAACGTATTTAGGGCGAATTAGCGTTAGTCTAAGTAGGGAAGGTGGAGTGACTTTGTACAGGAGAAGAGATTACTTGAGCAGAGAGCAGGTGAGAAAGTGATGGAACTGTGAGTATGCAAATGTGTAAACGTGAGCTCCAAAGGAGGTTCCAAATTGGGCCTTATCTCCCTCAGATTACTACTGCCTTTCATTGAAGCACAAGGAAGCGCTAGGCCACTTTTTCCTCCATTGTTCTTATACCTTTAACGGTTGGATGTGTTGGTTCAGGGAGTTTCAGTTATCATTTTGTTTACTTAATAACCGCATAGAGGATTGGTTGTTTACTTGTTTGGATGTTTGACAGGTAGCTCTCTCAAAAACAAAGCAAGGATTTTGGGGAACTGTGCTATTAGAGCCTTTGTCTGGATCTTATGGAAAGAAAGAAACCAGAGATCGTTTGAAAACAAGGGTGTTAGAGAGAGTTTTTCTTTTTGTTATTCTTAGGAATGTACAGTGTACGGCTTCATGGTGGTGTTTAAATCACAAAAAATTCTTTTGTAATTGTAGCTCCACGCAGCTAGAGCTAGACAAATGGGGTGTACATTTATGGAAAAAATATAAACAGTTAAGAAGAGGGGACACAAATAACAAGCATCACTGAGAATATCATCGAATTTTGGATTCGATTCCGTTGTCTTATATATATATATTATGAAACGGGAAGCCATGGTGGGATAATATGAAGCTTGAATTTTGTTCAAAACTGTCTCACTGCATAACCTCTTCAATTCCAAAATTGGACAGGTTGTTTAGTTCTTTCAAATTTTTCTTTATTATGATTTCTCGTGATTTTTCTTGAGAGGTTCCTAGACTGCATCACTATCATTATTGCTATCAATACTGAACTAAGTTGCTTTGATGGTTTAGGTGGCAAAGAGATTAGAGAAGACATCGAGGTATTTCAAGAGGTTGGGTAATCTCGGATTTTGGGGACAGTTGGTGTGCACGATTGTCGCTGCTGTTATTCTTTCATTCTCTGTTGTCGTCACCGGGAAAATTACATCACCTGCCACTTTTTATGCTACTGCTGGTGGTATTGTGGCAGCTTTCATTTCTGTATTTTGGTCCTTCGGGTACATTCGGCTTTCTGATAAACTTCAACGGACTGCAAATCAACCCTCCAAGGTATTATAATTTCTGTCTCCGTGTTTTCTGATTGCTCGAGAAACTGGAACGTCAAGAAACGATTTATTTGTTCCTTCAGCCTTCTAAACCACAGAACCAAGTCATCCAATTTAATCTGGCAATAAATAGGATTTCTTTGCTATAAAAGAATAGATTTGTCATGAGATTTATCTATTTGAAAATGAGAAAGATAACCTGTACACCACCTCTTGGAATACAATAGGTTATATATCCCAGCTTTTGGCATGCTTCCTTCTTTCCCCCATTTATTTTTGCAAAACTACCTCCAATAGACTATTTTAGCTGCTAAATACGAGCTTGTGCAAAATAAAGTAGAATTTTGACTGAACTCATGCTTCCTCTTTTTATTTATTGATCCTAATTTCAGGCTCCTCCCCGAGCCGATGTCGTGAATAGCTTGAAAAATGGAATAGTAGTGAACCTACTGGGCATGGGTGCTGCCATTCTGGGGATGCAAGCGACCGTAGGATTGTTAGTTGCTAAGGCTCTTACTTCCTCAGCAATTCCATATTACCAGGGAGCCTCCCCTGGAAATAGCCCTGTTCTTGCTTTGGATGTATTCTTAGTACAGGTACGTTTTTTTTTTCCCTCCTCAATGGTTATTTTGTTGAAAAACATAAAGATCTTCAGATTTTGGATGTGAATATAATATTATATGCTGTATTGACTGCTGGAGCATATCAATCTACTTCTCCTGTAAGTATTGACAATCATGAGAGTATAAAGAATATGCGTTCTTCTGAAAGGAACAATAGGAGCCATGGCTGTTAGGATAGGTGAAGACTGGGAGAGACGCAAAACAGGAAAGCTGTGAGATCCCACGTTGGTTGAAGAAGGGGAACGAAACATTGTTTATAAGGATGTGGAAACCTCTTCCTAGTAGACGCGTTTTAAAACCTTGAGGGGAAGCCTAGAAGGGAAAGCTCAAAGAGGACAATATCTGCCAGCGATGGGCTTGGGCCGTTACAAATGGTATCAGATCTAGACACTAGGCGATTTGCAAGCGAGGAGGTTGAGCCTTGAAGGGGGTTGGACACGACGCGGTTTGCCAACAAGAACGCTGGGCTCCAAAGGGAGTGGATTGGGGGGTCCCACATCGATTGGAGAAGGGAATGAATGTTAGCGAGGACGTTGGTTCCTGAAGGGGAGTGGATTTGAGATCCCACATCGGTTGGAGAAGGGGAACGAAACATTCTTTATAAGGATGCGGAAACCTCTCCCTAGTAGACGCGCTTTTTAAAACCTCGAGGGAAATTTCGGAAGGAAAAGTCCAAAGAGGACAATATCCGCTAGCAGGGGTATTGGGCCGTTACAAAAGCTCACTCGAGCCTATAATGAACCCAACTTGTATAAGGCATATCAAAATGTGCATTGATTCTGATGAGATAGCCGTGTGCCATTTCATGACTCCTTAACTTTCCTTCTTGCAGGCTTCTGCAAACACTATTCTCTCTCATTTCCTGGGGCTCGTTTTCTCGTTGGAGCTACTGCGCTCGGTGACATTGCCTGCTACTGAGAGTATTCCTATACCCCGAATAGCATAATCTCCACCGTCGCCCTTCTAGTTGGTTAGATTCGACATCAGAGGCGACACGATATGAATTGATCACGCTTTCAGTGTCCATTTTCAAGTATCGTTTGTATTTTTGTTGCGAGCGCCGCCGTTGGTAGGGAACTTGAATAGTTGCAGAGGTCCTTGAAGGTGTTTTCTGCGGATAGCTTCAATTGTATTAGAAGACTGTATCGGCCATGTCAAACTCTACTATCAAAATGTAGATTCAAATATGGTTCTTTGAGTTTTAATCTCTCTTCCATTTTAATATTTACTTTGTTTTTCTTTTTCTTTAATGAAAAATATTTACATGCTTGGAACTTCTACATCTAACCTATTACAAAATTTATTAAAATGTAATCACGTAATTTTAGTTTTTAGGGGTTTATTAAACATTTTAAATAATAATAAGGTTAGTGCTATATTCTTAAACTTGTTTTAATTTTTTTTTTAAAAATACCTTGGAATTAAAAAAAAATTAAAAAATACTTTAATTTTAGATTAAAAAAATTATTAATATTTTGTTTTAAAAAAAGAAAGAATTTAAAAAATAAGTACTTAATTTTCAAATTTTAGAAACTTTAAATTTATAATTACATTTTTTTTACACGCCTTTAAATTTATTTTTAACAAATTAAAAAAAATACACGTCGTTTATACCATATTTTAAAAATACTCATAAACTTTCATAAATGACATTAGAAATTTTGAAGATAATCTATAAGAAGTCTTTTCGTCTATAAATTGACAGTAACAAATTTTGTGAACCTTTTTTATAAAGGTAAAAGATGTCAACGGTACTTTAAAATTTTCATGGGTATTTTTTAAACCTCCTTCATATTAAAAATTTAGTATTTTTGAAATAAAGATTTCCATCCAAAATTGATGGTAATGATATTTTTCAAACTTATTTTGTAGTATTATTAAAAATTTTGAAAATTTAGAAATATATTTTTTTAGACCCGAAATAATGGCTACTTTTATTTTTTTTATCATTTTTTTAATTCAATAATACGGGCGTATATTAAGCTAATTATCTTTAGAATATAATAAAAAAAACATTTTATTTGATAAAAATGTTCAATTAATTAGATGACGAATAATGTACTTATTTTAAAGTATGCTTATAAACTTGGGCTAAAATCATTTTTAATGTAACATTTGAAGAGAGAGAGAGAGAGAGAGAGAGAGAGAGAGAGAGATAGATAATTTCCATCTTCCTCGCTCGCTTTCTGAAACTCGTCGACGGAGAAGAGAACAGATCGTCTGTTCGGAAAATTCGCAGATCTCATTGCAAAGAAGTGACTGCAGCAATTCAACTGTTGCAGGAGAAAGAAGGACGCGCAATTTGAAGCTATTAGAGATGTTGCCTACAGCTTCCAGAGGGCGTTCTTCGGCCTCTACATCTCGAGCTAATTCCATGTATCCACAGTACCTCCGTCGAATTGTCAAGGTTATCTCACTCCTTCATATTATGTTTACTCTCCATTTCTAGCAGATCCGCTCCATATGTTAATCAAACTGCTACTTTTCGCATCTAATTTGTAAACGATTCATCTTCACGGATATGGCTGATGAAGTCTGTATAAAATCATTTGATTTTGTATTATTGTTATTTGAGGAATTTGTGTGACTTTATTGTTTTTTTTTCTCCTTTCTCTCAGCGTAGACATTGGAACAGTGTTGTTATAGTTCGTTCTGAAATTTTGTTCTTATTTCGTATTTTAGTTGCGATTCTTCCTACCTGCTTCGTTTTGGTTAGATCATTTGTTGTTCCGTTATTGGTGATTTACTTTACGCTGTTCAAGCACTGTTTGATCCTTGATGTGTTGGGTGTGGTGCCACGTGGAGTCTTGGATCTTGTGAATCCAAGCAGTAATAGTTGGATAGTTCAGAGCTTGGTCGTGTTTGATGAGAACAAGTTTCAGTTGCCCTCTGGATTTGTAATGTAGTTTATTGCATCCTCAACATGCTTTAGCTAGTTCTGTTCTTTTGCAGTTCTTGAAATTTTGTCATATTTTTGGTTACAAATAAATTGTTGGAAATTGGCCACAAAATGAAGCTAATGTTCTTTCAATTTCCTTCTTATGTGATGTTGTTTGCTGGATGCCATTAATTTCATAAGTCATCACTTTATTTGGCTAATTGCAGTGGCAACAAATGGACATCGAATATACATTCTGGCAAATGCTTCATCTATGCACTTCACCAAAAGTTGTGTACGTATTGGTTCTTATTGGCTATTGTCACTCACTGACAGCTGTAGCGTACTCTGTTTCAAGTTTGTTTTTGCCCTTTTTTAATCGTTGCTATTTGGACTTTTGGTGGAATTTTCCTTTGGATGCAGCTATCAGCATACCAAGTATCACAAGCGTAAGTACATCTCCCATCAAAGAGTCCTGTTTTGTCTGTTTGTTTGTTTGTTTGTGCTGATTGTAATGGTGCTGAAGAACCCATAATTGTACTCACGATTTACGGTTATATGTAATCCAGTTTACAAGTTGTTTAGATATTTTCCAATATACACTTTTCCCTTTAACATTGTGTTGATTTCCTCTCATATTTAATCACTACCAACGTAGTATGCTACCAGGTGAAGAAAGTGAATTTTTGTCTAATCTCAAAACAATTTCTTTTTCTTGAAAGAATGCAGGGATTTATACTCAGATTGATACACATGTATTGGATTAGCATGTGTACTTCCAAGGGGAAGTTTAATTCTATTTTTTTTTTAAAAAATGTCTGAAGTCATTGGTGAAATAAGTGACGGAGACATCGGGGTGTATTGTTAAATTTTGGGAGACCGTTGCTTAGGCCTCTTATTACTCTTGCTTGTTAGGATTACCCTTTGGGTGAAGTTATCATCCATCCTAGAACACAAAATTAATGTCTAATTTATTCTAATGGTTAAATTACAAGTTTAGTCTCTAGACTTTCAGATCTACATCTATTTAGCCCCTGAACTCTCTAGTTGGAATGGAGTCAAAGATCTCTCCAACATTGTTATGAGGGAAACAAAATTGACTATATAGGCTATTACATGGGAGTCATATCTAGTGTAGTGTTTAAACCCAAGATCAATATCTTTTCTTTTTAAATGTGATTTTGTCACTATTTTATTTCATATGCACAAAAGTTTATGGGATGTCTATTTTCATCTGGAAATTACAAAAGAAAAAAAAAAGATCGGTTAGCAATTTTGTTTTACAGGCTTAAAGGGAGCAATATAACCTTTGAAAGAAAGGGTAGAAACCTTATTTATCTTTATGATCTTATCTTGTATACAGAAGCCACATAGAGTAAGCTACATAATTTTTTTGGAACTGTTTTTTATAACCTCCATTAGCCTTGGTGGTCTTCTTCCTTTTGTTATATTTCATGGCATTAATGAAGTTTGTTTCTCTTTCCAAAAGAAAAAAAAAAGTATCTTAACGATAGATGTAATATGTGTAGTATAAAAGCTTTTCATCTGTTAGAACTCAAATGAAAAGTTGTTTGCTATTTTCTTGTGTCAGAAACTAAGAATCAATGGGCACGTGATGATCCTGCTTTTGTTGTGATCTGCAGTCTTCTTTTGGCAATCGCAACTTTGGCTTACTGTGCTGCGTAAGTGTAGCCAATGCTTCTATGTAGTATCTCATCTCTTTGTTGGTTTATTTTTTAATGAAGCACACGTCCAGTAAAGTAGGTCATTTTCTAAATATTTGTGTGTCTGTTTGTTTGTGTGTGAGTGAGAGAATCTTGAGAAGGTGTACCAGCCTCTTCGTCTCTCCCACAAAGAACATATAGGCATACACTCGTACAAACACGAAAACAGGAGATAAATTGAAAGAAACATGTACACCTATACACTTTATGTGATAATTGTTTTCTTCTCTCTCGATTGGTTATAATGGGAGTTTTATTTATATATATTATTATAAGGTTGTCTATTAAAAAATTCAGCTAATTTATGCACTAGTTGTGTTTTCTGATTGTCAAATTTTGTTAATAATTTCAGGTATGATCATAGTGCAGCACATGCCACTTTTGTAGTTATTTCAGTACTGCTCTTCCATTTGCTAATAACTGGGGCGATTTTGGCTACTGGTTGTTGGTAAGCTATTTCCCTGCTGTGAGTGCATGTTGCTAAATCATTTTGCCAACAAATTATTTTTCTTTGTACCAAGAAATATTCATCAATTTGCTATAATCTCAAATGGATCTTACACTCTAGATACGATTATTTGTTCTCTTGGCTGTCTTGATTTGTACTTGGGACTTGACTCCTCTTAATTAGACGTGCCTTGTTTAAAGCTTCCTTGAGTTTAATTTCAGATATTTGTTTCTGCACTGAATGAAATAGGCACATATACAATATGAAAGAAAATTAGGAAACATTTTGGTGGATCATATCTTCTGGATAATGGTTGACATCAGCACTAAGGACAAGAGCCACTCTAATTTTTAGAATAGTAGATCTATAGTTTTCCTGTTATGTGTGTTGGGCATGAGTTAGGTGCGTTTCTTTATCAACTGAAGAGATGATGTAGCTTCAAACAAAGAATAGGAAATCTAGCTCTTTTCTTTTTTCCTTGCTGAGGTCCTCTGTATTCTGATGCAATTTCCTTTCAGATGTCTATGTAAAATTATGTTGAAGTCCCACGTGTAGTTCCTGTCCTTTAACAACCTGTTAATGCTGAATTATCATCACAGTTGACCTCTTGAGCATTTGTATGAAAATGTTTTTATTACATGCCGATATAATTTATAGTGATCAATTTCATCATTCAAATGTACTTTCAGGTTATTAACAAATTCTTACCTTCGGGAAGAGACACCGGGCAGTCATGTAGTTGAGCAACGGGTTGAATGGTAAGATCTTTAACTCTCAATTTTAGTTATACTCAGGATTGCTTATGGCTTATTTCAACTTCTGTTAAACATCAGTTTTTAGGACCAAATTATTTTGATGCAGCTTTTAGTTTTGTGTTACTAGTGGCCTTTAGGGTTTTAATATTCTATTATATTTACGCAATGTCTTCCCTTTGTTCCCTGAAAATTAGTGGATTGACATATGGTTTATTTGTTTGTTTACTTTTCACTGGTTCAAGGCTCTATGCATTTGATGTGCACTGCAATTCTTTCTTCCCAATGTTTGTTTTGCTTTACGGTGAGTATGATAATAGCTTTTGTTTATGTTTTGTTTTCAAGCATTTAATTGCGGCTCTGAAGTCCTGGTTTTGTTGCAGTGATCCATTATTTTATATCACCGCTTCTGGTGGCCCATG